AATTAAACATTATTAGCTGAATTTTTCGGCGTTGCCCGTGGAATCTCAAAAAATCGTCCAACACTCTGCAGAAAACGACTTCCTACAACTAAACGGTGATCTGAGGAAACGCCCCCTATCTACGGTTATAACCCTGAAACATCATAAATATGCGGTCGCGAATACTCTGCGTACATATTGAAACCAGTTCTCTCTGGGCGGAATTTGTAAATAAGAATAGATGCAATAGTGTTCGTTTAGTATCAGAGAAGGTTAATAGCATTTAATTTTGATAATTTTGAAAATTCACATAATAGTTTCCATTGACCTGACATCCGTCTTGTGTTTACTTTTCCGTTCAAAGACAGTACACTGCAGTACAAAAAATGCGTACACCTCTGAAATAACTTTCCTTGCATTAGTACCTTGATAAATATTCCCAATCAATCAATTTTTCCTACAGTTCAGGGCTAGAGAGCGACTTAGGACACAGAAAACAAGAACATAACTTTAATTTCTTGAGGGGAAAATCTAATTCTTTGATTCTTTGAATATATATGTTTTAAATAATAAAGAATATTAATCCTTTTCGCTATTTATGACGGACTTCGAATTTGAGATCAAAATATGATTTAAAATATTTTGATATAGGCAGGAAATGCTACGAATTGTATGTTAGTTTTATGTGCCATCCGTATTTTCTTTTCATACCCGTTTCTTAAACAATTGCTCTAATACAAATGTTTTTAATGTATGAAGCAGTTTAATGAGAAATACATACTCCATCACAGCCTTCATAATCACACGCATATTATTTATAGTTCTAAAATATATTGAGGTGTTTTTTTTCTCTAATTTTTCTTCATCAAATTGTATTTTAGAACCATGTTGCTAAGATCTATCGGTTATTTTTGAGTTTGACCATCTTGTTTGAGTTTAAAGTGCGCCAGGACTAAGAAAAAAACAAACATACACAAAATTTTGAAAAATAATAAATGTAAGTTTTTATTATTTAGTTGATGGACTGTATAGTGTATATATCAGGGGGGAACAAAGTCTAACCACAGGAATGCTTGATCCGTCCTTGTTGGAAAACTTATAAAAACTTTTTATTCACGAAGCTGTAATGTCACCCCCCTCTCTCTAGCACCACTTCACCCAGTTGGAATGATTTAGAGGTTTGCTTCATCTTCCTTACCCTGCTACACATTATTTCACGTCAAATGGAACAATTATTTGTTTCCAATCATAACTCCTCTTATAGAAATGGTTGTTGAAAAGACCAAAAATGTTCTGAATTTCTTTATTGTAATCACATATATTGGAGCTACAAGGTCCAAAAAGTCTTACTAGTGATGTTTGCAGATATCTGACATTCTCCAACATTAAAACCAACTCCTTGTCTCTCTAAAATAAAAACTCAAATATGAATTTGATTGGCTCATCAAATTATCTCTATGTGCCGTTGATAGACTAACTTTGGGCAAACAAATCAAAACAACCAACCCTGGTTAGTCGGGTCCAAACTTTAAAGTAAATTATGTTCATTATTTGTAATATCTCTTACTATGTTGATTAAAAATAGGAAAACATCTGAAGTTATCCTCTCTATACTCCGTAAAAGGTTTATTTCTCCCATTCTTTAAAGTTATATTTAACAAACCTGGGAATCTTTTACCGAGGTAAATTCAGGTATTTATGTTTATATTGACACTAAAGGTGCGTTGGAAAATATTAAATTTAGCTGATTTCATTATTGCAATTGCAGTGAACCAGAGTTTCATTTTGTTAATGCAGTGTACAAACTTTATGTGCACATTATACCATTTGCATCAGTGCATTCAGTAAATGCTATGCATTCTATACATCATTTATTTCACTAAAGGGGTAGTGTCCCTGAAAAAGATCAATATTCATGAAATAGGAGATTGCTATCTACCACTTTATCTTTCCTCGGAGGAAATTAGCCCTGTTTGAGTGGAGTAATTTGGCCTGTGAAGAGAGTAGACATTGTTTTGTTGGTTTGGATCTGGCGGGGTTTAGTGATCGTCTAGCCGACATTTTGTTTTTTGTTGATAAGGTAATTGTTTTTGAGGTTTGGTCTGGTTTAGTTTAGTTTAGTTTAGTTTAGTTTAGTTTAGTTTAGTTTAGTTTAGTTTAGTTTAGTTTAGTTTAGTTTAGTTTAGTTTAGTTTAGTTTAATAAATCATTGTTGAAAGCATGAGCATGACAGTTCAATTTGGTTTTATTTTTGTTAAATTTGGTTTGGTAACTATAAATTATAAATGTCGAGTTATTAGAGTAGATTTCATTTAATTTAAGCTTAGAATATAGTTTGGTTAAATATTAAAAGAAAACATTTATTAAGATTATTAGATTTATTAAGACAGAAAGCTAATTTTTGTACCCTACAAACTCATGTTGGTCGATTTTATAATTATATGGTATTTTTGTACCCTACAAACTCATGTTGGTCGATTTTATAATTATATGGTAGTTTTGTAGTAATATAATTTGAGTTTTAAGCTGTTATAATAAACAAAATGTAAAAGTGCGACTAAAAAACAAAGTTATGTTCAAAGTTAGGTTTGTTCTTGTTAAAGAAGTTCTGTTTTCTATTTAAATCAAATTTTAGGATGATAAAACAAATATTTATGGTCTGAAATATGATTATATTTCATGGTTTGATTTTGTTTTTGTAAAAACTTGAGTTATCGTTTGGGTTGATTAATTGGGCACAAACAAACTAGACTGGGAATGGTAAAAGTGAGAGGCAATAGTGTTCGTTTAGTATCAGAGAAGGTTAATAGCATTTAATTTTGATAATTTTGATAATTCACATAATAGTTTCCAATGACCAGAATATTTCATTGATTTTTTATGTGAAAGATGGATCCCATGTCAAGCTGTTGTTAAAACAGTCTGGAGGCCAATGGGTTGGCCTTGGCAGTGAAACCTCCGAGATAGATAGATATGCAGAGAGCTTTTAAACTAGAAAGCTTTCATAAAAAAGAAACGATAGATAGATATTTTGATGGAAAGAATTATAAAACAGCTGTCGCGCAGCTGCTATAAAAGGGACTATTGCTGGTGTTAAAAAGTATTCAAATTTGTCTTCTTATTTTCTTGTACATATATTTAGAAACAACAAATAGGTGTCCTGCTCTTATTTTGACCTTTTTCATTTCGTTCGTTCATCGTTCGTGAACGACCCATTTCGTTCGTTTATTTTAATCGTTCTCAAAATTATCGTTTGTTTTCCATCAATTTTGTTCTTTATCTCACTGAACGATCGTTCAGTAAAATTTTTTATTCAGTAAAATCGTTCGTTCAGTAAAATAACGATAGTTTTTTTCTAAAATTTGTTCGAAAAATGTCGTTAGTGCAGTAAAAAATTGTAGTTTAAAAAGTTTGTTCCGAAAAATTGTTTGTCTAGTAAAACCCCGATAGTTTTGTTTCCAAATCCGTTGAAAATATTTATTCAGTAAAAAACTATCGTTTTTTCAAGTTCGTTCGAACGATTTTAATTCGTTCATTTTCTTTTGTAAAAAACTATTATTTATCTGAACGATCCATTTCGTTCGTCCATCGTTCGTTTTTTTCTGAAGGGCACTTTTGTTCGTTTAAAACAACAATGCCCAGCTCTATAAATTACCCATACAGAACACTGAAAGGGGATAAAGTGGCCCACTTACAGAAGAGTACACCTCAGGAACAATACACCAGAAAGATATTTGGGTAAAAATAACTAATGGCTCTTTTCATACTTTTCTAAAAAAAAATTATATCTTCCATTTTTTATCATAGACTGCATGGGTTGAATTTGTAAATATTAATTTTGTGATATACTGCTTGAATTGAATATGTAAATATTACTTTTGTTTCAAATTTTAAAACTAATGTTATGAATTTCTTTTAACAAGTTTTAATAGTATATATCTTTTCAATATGTCGTAACAATTTCTGAAAGAAAGTTCTGAAAATATTTCTATCTAAATGGGAATAAAATTGAAATCGAAAATCTACTAAAATTACAGTTTTTATATATAAATTGTACACTAGCTTGCAAACTCAGTTTTGTCGAAACGTTTGACGTGAAATTTAATTATAAGACTAAACTGAACATAACTGAACAATTGAACTTTTATATTTCATGAGCTCTCAACTGTTATAGCAAACTAAATTAATTTTTATATCGACTGACTCGACTAATCATGGACAAACAAGGCTCTGGAATAATTGAAAAGAAATAATTATTATTTTTTTCTGTGAAGTACAATAAAAACTTATCATGATGACAGCTATTAATAAAAAACAAATAATAGATAAAAAATAACTTGATAAAAATACAGGCAGCTTCACCAAACATAAATTTAATGATTATTTCTTTTACTTCACTAGTGTGTGACAGTAATTTGCGGCAAGCTGTAGTAATGGGATTCAAATCTTTAAGTTTAAAACTACTTGATATTTTTAGGAACAGCCTGGGCGGCGCGGAAGCTGCAGCACTGTTCTCACACAAAAATGTTATTTGCCGATTACTTCGTTTAAACTTAAGAGAAAAACGAGCGCTTAGCATTTTTAAAATGTATATGTCCAGGCCTACAAAAAAGTATAAGTGGCTTGGGGAGATAAAACCAAAGGGTAAGACTTTGCGACACTTTAAAGTCGTGGCTGTTGAAACATTTGATGAATAACTTTCAGAGTTGTTTACATCTCAGCTCATTGAGCACCCGGGTCCATAGCCGTCAGAACTAGAAAATTTAAATCATTATTTTTATTCTTATGTTTATAGAACCCCTCTGTCCTGTCAGGACAGGACACAGTACCCATCAAATTAATAAATAACAAGGATGAATAATGATCCAGTGATAAAAGAACAAAAATGAGGGGAAAACTAAATGAACGAAAAGAGAAAAAAGTTTTAAAATAAAAAATATTTGTTCTACATAATAAAGATTATGAAAGGAAAATGGAAAAAAAAACTATGCACGCAGATGAAAGATGAGAGTAAAAAAATTGTATTTTTTGAATATTTATTTTAACTGATTTCTGAATTAACAGTACAGTGTTCCTATATATTATCACAGCCGGTTCGAATACAAAATTTTCAATTTAAAACATCAACATTAACATCAACTCAACTTGAACATAAACTTTTTGAAAATCATTTTTTTAATGAGTTATAATTCGGCCTTTGTCTGATGGTGAGGCCAAGAGGTAAATCATTTCAAATTCAAATATTTTTACATTGATACATTAATACAATTAATGTTTTTGATAAACTGTCATTATTACATTAATGATGATAAATGGCACTTTAAATAAAGTAAAATTAAACAATTAAAATAAAAGTAAAAATGTATGAGTAGCATTATTAAGATAGTATTATGCACTGACAAGAAGTAAGGAAATAGTCCGGTCAAATATTGGAGGGAAAATTATAGAAACGTTTGTGGGAGAAATTCATCAAACTCCCGATTTTAATCGTTTCCACTTAAACATTTTGACATCTTGACACATTTAATCTGTCATGGCTGTTTAGTGTTCAGGGGTTGTTATAAATGTTATAAACAAGAGAAAAAGAAAAAAGAAAATATTTGGTTTACGAAAGTTAAAGTTAACCCTCCACTATTTGTGCAAATTTATAAAAATCCAATAATTAAGAAATCAACGCCAAGGCAGAATTTCTGCGTCAAACCGGGGTTAACCAACACTTTTTTTCTAGAAGAAAAAACATTTTTGATCAATTATCCCGAAACAATTACTTTTCCTTTCCCCGTTTCCGATTACAAAACAACCTAAATGGGTTGCAAATGATGACGTCTCCACCCAAGCATTGCATGAGTTCAATTCATGTTTCTGATTTTTGCAAAAACTGTGCAAACTTTTACCTTGGAAAACACGATGTCATCCCAGAAATCTTTTCATAACATTAGAAACCAGACTAAACCAAAAAAAACCTCTGTTAAGTAAACCAAAACTAACTGAAGAGTGGGCAACCCGTTTTTTGGGAAAAAGTTAAGAAGAAAAATTTCCCCCCAAAAGTTGTTTAATCTGGAAATTATTTAAATTTTTGGGGTTGCCAGGTCTAAGCTAAATTTTTGATTTAACGATATTTTCGTCAACATTTTCTTCTTTTCAATCAGTCTTTCTGTTTATATTAGGACTTATCTTGATTTTGTCATAATTTCCAAATATCACACAAATTAATCGACTGTCACTTTTATATCAGCACTTTTACTTTCTTTCCAGCACTTTAAACTGATAAATCCTTGTATACTTTAAGGATTTTGCGGTATATATGTATAAATAGACATTTTATCGTTCTTGGATTAGAAATATCGGAGAATAATTGAGAAATGGATTAAATTTGTTTGAAGAACGATGGTGATGTACAGATACAGATTATTATAAAAGTTTTGGAGGGAAGAATATATATTTTCACTGGGCATCTTCTCCTCTCTTTTAACCATTAAAAACCCCTGGAGTACCCTGGAGAACCCTGGAGAACCCTAGAGTATCCTGGAGTATCCTGGAGAGCCCTGGAGAATCCTAGGGAGCCCTGGAGCAATCAGGAGAACTCTGGAGTACTCTGGAGTACTATGGAGTACCCTGGAGTACCCTGGAGTAATCTGGAGTACCCTGGAGTACCCTGGAGTACCCTGGAGTACCCTGAAGTACCATGAAGCACCCTGGAGTACCCTGGAGTACCCTGGAGTACCCTGACGTACCCTGGAGTACTCTGGAGAACCCTGGAGAACCATGAAGTATCCTGAAGTACCCTGGAGAGTCTACATCAGACTGCAATGTTTCTTCTTCAGAAGACTTTTATGTTTTGGTTTCTCTACAAGAACTAATCTTGTTTCCACAACCGGAGACTTAGTTTCCTCTTCTGGTTCCTCCGGAGCAGGTTCCGGAGCTGGGACGGAAACCTCTGGTTCCGGAACCCGTAGTTTCTCCGCCTGAACCTGGTTAAAGGCTGACTCCAGGTCCTGGTTTAGGTTTCCTCCCTTCCAGAGCTGAAGGATGATATCTGCATCCTGGCTGACCTCTCCTTCAGGTTGGAACGGATTCTCCCATCCCTCCTCTCCCTCACTAGAATAGAAAAATATATTTACAACATGTTGTTTATTTATTCAGGAACTTCGAACTGTGTGAGTCCTTGCACCTTCCTTACTTTAGACTTATATTTCATAATAATATCAACCTTCCCCCCCCCCCGCATGAATAATTATGATAATTAGATCTTTAATCAATAAATATAGGTTTCAAGTTTCATTATAAACCTATCGGATCAACGAAAACAAATTTGCAGCCCATATATGGACATTCTTATCATATTTAGATTTGATAGATAATATTTGTGCTGTTTAGATTATGGATTTAAGAGATAATATTAGTATTGTTTAGATTATAGATTTGATAGATAATATTATATATGATGAATGGATGGTTATATCGCTGATGGATAGATTAATTATCAATCGATAAGGATAGTAGATAGATAGATAAATATAGATAGGAGGTTGCATTAAATATTTATCATTGTTTACACTAAAAGATAGTGTAATAAGTGCTACTCTCCTTTATCATTTCTCTCTAGCAGAAGTTTGCGTCAATACTCTTCAACTTGAAAGAAATCAGAGTCAATGCTTATCAACAACTGAACAACTACTGCTCTAGCTGTACTTATCTACTAAACCTTTTACTACCCTGCGTCCTATCTACTCCTCTACATAAACCACGTTAATACTACTCTACTATTCTACTGTTCTATTAGACAGGATAAAGAAAGATTACACAGGATTATTGGATGAAGAGCCTTTCTTCTTTCAAGAGATGACAGAGGGAGCATTAATTGGGTTTAGAGAGTTTAGTCCAGAAAAGGAAGAAGAGAGGGCAGGGGTAAAGGTTGGAGTGAAAGAAGTTTAAGGTTGAGAATAGAAGGAGTGAAGAAGTTGGAGGTTGGGAATAGAAGGAGTGAAGAAGTTGAAGGTTGATAATAGAAGGATTGAAGAAGTTGAAGGTTGATAATAGAAGGATTGAAGAAGTTGAAGGTTGAGAATAGAAGGATTGAAGAAGTTGAAGGTTGAGAATAGAAGGATTGAAGAAGTTGAAGGTTGAGAATAGAAGGATTGAAGAAGTTGAAGGTTGAGAATAGAAGGATTGAAGAAGTTGAAGGTTGAGAATAGAAGGATTGAAGTAGTTGGAGGTTGAGAATAGAAGGATTGAAGTAGTTGGAGGTTGAGAATAGAAGGATTGAAGTAGTTGGAGGTTGAGAATAGAAGGATTGAAGTAGTTGGAGGTTGAGAATAGAAGGATTGAAGTAGTTGGAGGTTGAGAATAGAAGGATTGAAGTAGTTGGAGGTTGAGAATAGAAGGATTGAAGTAGTTGGAGGTTGAGAATAGAAGGATTGAAGTAGTTGGAGGTTGAGAATAGAAGGATTGAAGTAGTTGGAGGTTGAGAATAGAAGGATTGAAGTAGTTGGAGGTTGAGAATAGAAGGATTGAAGTAGTTGGAGGTTGAGAATAGAAGGATTGAAGTAGTTGGAGGTTGAGAATAGAAGGATTGAAGTAGTTGGAGGTTGAGAATAGAAGGATTGAAGTAGTTGGAGGTTGAGAATAGAAGGATTGAAGTAGTTGGAGGTTGAGAATAGAAGGATTGAAGTAGTTGGAGGTTGAGAATAGAAGGATTGAAGTAGTTGGAGGTTGAGAATAGAAGGATTGAAGTAGTTGGAGGTTGAGAATAGAAGGATTGAAGTAGTTGGAGGTTGAGAATAGAAGGATTGAAGTAGTTGGAGGTTGAGAATAGAAGGATTGAAGTAGTTGGAGGTTGAGAATAGAAGGATTGAAGTAGTTGGAGGTTGAGAATAGAAGGTATGAAAGGAGCGGGAAGACTGGGTTGAAATATCTCAAGAATAGGTTGTGATAAATATCTAGACTAAGTTGAGATACCTCTAGAATAGGTTGTGATAAATATCTAGACTAAATTGAGATACCTCTAGAATAGGTTGAAATGAATCTAGAATAGTATGAGAAATATTTAGACTAAGTTGATATATCTAAGTAGAATAGATTGACATATCTCTAGAATAGGTTGTGATAAATATCTAGACTAAGTTGATATATCTAATTAGAATAGATTGAAATGAATCTAGATATAAGATATATCCAGAATAGGTTGAGATATGTTTAGACTAAGTTGGGATACCGAGCTATAGAATAGGTTGAAATGAATCCAGAATAGGTTGAGATATGTTTAGACTAAGTTGGGATACCGAGCTATAGAATAGGTTGAAATGAATCCAGAATAGGTTGAGATATGTTTAGACTAAGTTGGGATACCGAGCTATAGAATAGGTTGAAATGAATCCAGAATAGGTTGAGATATGTTTAGACTAAGTTGGGATACCGAGCTATAGAATAGGTTGAAATGAATCCAGAATAGGTTGAGATATGTTTAGACTAAGTTGGGATACCGAGCTNGGGGGGGTTAAATATAATCAGCTTTTAGAATAACAACTTGAAATCTAATATTTAATCAAGCTCTGACTCTGCTTAGATTTAGGTTCACATTTCTCAGGGTGTGGAGTGGAGTAGAGAGAGAAGAGAAAATAATACAACCCGAAGCATGCTTCTCAATTGAAACCCAATCTGCTGACATCATGAACCTCGCATTCCGCACATTCAAGCATACTCTGGGTTAACTCATTTTATTCCAGGTTTCTAATTAAACAAAGCATTTCTGGTCAATTAACTCCAGGGTTTGATTTAAAGAGAATTTAATCTGCAATTTTTTAATTAACCTCGAATGTGGATCGAACAATGGTCATTAATTAGATTTAATTAAATTAGAAAGGAACCTAGGGAAGATTATATTGACATCAAGTATTTAATCTTTAAATAAAAAGTTAAAATAAATGGAGAACATCATACCGATTAATAGAACATATTTCATATAACACTTTTTAATATAATTCAATTAATCATTTATTCAAAATTTCCTCGTCATTTTTCTTTTCTCCTCTATTTACTTTGCAACCCTGTTCTACTGCTTCTTTCCTCTCCTATCTATCTATCTATTCTATTTTCTTCTAATCCTCTCCTATCCCTCTATCTATCCTATTTTCTTCTAATCCATCTCCTATCCCTCTATCTATCCTATTTTCTTCTAATCCTTTCCTATCCCTCTATCTATCCTATTTTCTTCTAATCCTTTCCTATCTCTCTATCTATCCTATTTTCTTCTAATCCTCTCCTATCCCTCTATTTATCCTATTTTCTTCTAATCCTCTCCTATCCCTCTATCTATCCTATTTTCTTCTAATCCTATCTTTCCAACGAGCCTTACTATCTAACTACAAACTAGTAAAAAAAATTTTTTTAAGATCTAGATATTTATTTATGTATGGAGGTTATTACAGGTTTACAAAATTGTTATTATGGATAAAAATTTTTTGCGATATTTTCGTGTACATACAATTATAAATTGGTAAGGTCAAAATCCAGAAATTTACAGATACATTTTTTTCGTTTTTTCATGTCTTGATTGCTGGTAAATTTATATTCAAGTACTGACAGAGCAGCAGTTCAAGAGAAAAAACTACATTATATATTAGAGGATAGCATACTTTTGGGCGATAAGACAGGGAGATACTACAAACACAGTGTTATCTCTTATTGGAAAATCCTACAGTTAACAGTGTGCGTGCTTTCACATAAACATGCACGGAAGCGAGTTTATATTAAAGAAGATTATTGTTAGCATCGTAACATGGAACATTGAACGTTCCTAGTTAAAAATGATGCTACAAAATCTCAGTTTGAGAAAAAGGCGTAATGATTTAGATATGAAGAATATTAAAGAAAATTCATGTTAGCAAGAGAAACATTGACCGTAAAAAATTACAAATCTGAATATTTAACCAACGAAATAAGTAAATATCTCTTTAACTAACTAACTAATAACCAATTAACTAACCATCTGACTAACTAACTAACTCATCATTCTCTCTGTTAAACCTGAGCCTCTGTATTTCTCTGAATCCCCTGGAGCTAAGGAGCTTTTTTTTTATCGATTTTGATGGTTATTATATCGTTAGAACTGCAGACGAGGGTCAACCCAGACCAAAATATATTTTCAATAAATGAGGAACTAACATCTACTTTTTTACTCTACAGAGGTTTGGTCCATCACCATCACCGAATTTGAAACTATTTTGAATACACGTCAGAACTCAGATGGCTGAAAAGTCCAATTTCATACTTTTATGGCCCTCACTGTATCTATCTCTATTGTCTACAATTTAATAATTTTCAGGTTTTTTCCTTTTAAAAATGTCTAAATCGTTCAAGGTGAATGTATTTTACTTAATGCATGTAAAGCAAGTTTACCCTGAATACCGTGTCAAAATATAATTTTCGGGTTGCATTTCAGAGCTTAATACTACTTTTTAACAATGCAGAAAAGTTGTCTGTTTGATCCCATGTTGACTAAATTGAAAAACTAATGCAATTGCAGACTTTTATTTTATTACAATTGTCTATCTGCATGAAATAGTTTAGTCGGCATGTGTGTGTAGATACATTGTGAAATATTTTCAGTTTTTGTAAATATTTTTCCTTTTCCCTTGTAAACTTTTTCTATGGAGTGTTTAGCATTTCTAAATTTAAATCTACTATTTTCCACCTCATCGATCAACGAATCCATACATAGGAGCATAATTTCGAGTTCGAGTGCACAATAACAAGTTTTCGAAAAAAAAATTGGATGGTTCATTTACAAAATATTACAAATAATAAAAAATATTTTTGGTGATTTAGGCCATTTGGATATTGGCTATTTTCTCATACCAATGTATTTGTAATTTTATGAAACTAATGTGTACTTCATCATTCTTACTCACTTCATCGTGAATTTCATACTGAACACGCTATTAACGTGCTATAAAGTTAAATTCGCTGTACATTATAGCACGTGTGCTATAAAGTTTTGATTGGTTCCTAGGATTTTCTCCAAAAAATTTAGGATATTTCCAAAATATTTTTTTCAGTTGAAATGAAAATAAAATTGAAATCAACTTAATATTTTGACTTCTGATTTGTTTCAAAGCTAATTTGATTTAAAGGGACTGTAAAGGAAAAATGAAAGGGGGTATAGGCTGAAAGCTAATCACTTTAGCTCTCGATCACGACCCATGAAAGTTATATCTGATGTTCCTATCTCGAGAAATTGATATACAACTTTGTCAAATTTATACGAAAATTAATATATATATACAATTTTGTATAAAAGTAGTGGCTTTAAATAGCTCAAATTCAGCAAATATGCAACCAATCTGAAAACGATGATATCCCAGAGAAAGCTAAATGTAACTTAGGTTTACTCCAATTGTAATTTTAAATTTTTTATTTCTATTTTTAATAGATTTAATTCATAATATTATTTATACGTCCGTATTACTTGACCAGAAATTCCACCAATGGCAGTGCAGTAAAGTGGTCACGTGATAAAGGCGGAGACACATGACCAGTATACTGCTCTGCCATTGGTGATAGTTCTGGTCACGTGATTTAAGTTTAAGATTTTCTAAATTTTACATATATGAACTTTCGTTTGATTTTAACACAGTTTTATATCAATTTCTCGAGACAGGAACATCAGATCAAACTTTCATGGGTCGCGATCAAGAGCTAAAGTGATTAGCTTTCAGCCTATACCCCCTTTCATTTTTCCTTTACAGTCCCTTTAAAAGAGCCATTGAAAACTACAAAAACGTTTCATAAAATTACCTACAACTCTATTATTTTGGCACGACGTGCTATAAAGTTTTTGGACTTAAATTTTCTCAATATCTCGAAGGTTCTCGCCTTTTTAGTTTATATTTTGTCCCTCACTAAAGCTCGGGACATTATTAAATCTAAAAAGGCTTGAACCTTCTCGATAAAGAGAAAATTTCTGCCCAAAAACTTTATAACACTGCGAACAAAAATAACAGTGTTATAAATAGTTAACGTGTATAATACATTTCAATGTACAGTTACGCCAAATAAATATGAGGATTTAAATACGGTCCTTTGCACAATATGGCACACCGTAAAGATAAATTTATGAAGAAAGCATTATTTAAAATAAAATCTGTTTATTGTTTTAGATAGTATTTTTCCTGGTTTCTAACGAGAAACAAAAAGTAAAAATACTATTAGGCCTTCTTTGAATCATGTTTATTAGGACAACCTGTATATTTGAAACAATTATAAACAACCTTGATAAAGAAGATTATCTTAATCCTATCTTACCTTGAATCGTTTAAGTCTTGGTTTGATTGCTCCAGCAGGGACGAATCATTGAAATCTATTATCCTGGGAGCTGTAGAGAGAGCAGCAGTCCGCTCCACATACTTGACCTACTCGGACATATCATTTAAACCAGAGAATCAGCAAAATAAATCCATATTTTTGACAAAAAGAACGAAAATGGAAGACATACTTTCATACTTATTCAAGTAGTGTTTTCTTTTCATTTTTCCTTCAACTTTTAGTCAAGGGATTAGAGGGGGGAGGGGCATACATTTCCAGACATACTCAGGCACGCCTCTCTTTTCTGTTCTTAATCAAGATGAACAAATCAACAATAGAATCTGATGTGCTTGTGGTGTCTGGCAACAAGAAATAAACTCGTAGATTTTAAATCAAAGCCGGACGCCATTTTGTGAGTTTATGAGGATATTTGAAAATTCTTGAGAAATATTTAAATATATTTGATTAAATTTCTATTTTTCAAGGGAAGGGCGAAGAATGTTTTCCACTCCAATGATTTCAAATATCTGGATTCTGCAGGGTTTGCAAAAAAACAAGATTTCAGATTTAATACTAGAACTCCAAGCCGAAAATATCTTAAACTATATATCCAAACGTTTTGTGCATGTATATTTGCTGAAAAAGTTTACCCAGAGTAACCCACCCCCTTTTCCACCCCCTGGTATCGTTTAAAAGTAAAATACCCACCACCTCATGCTTTTTTGTTGTTGACAATATGCTTATCCAAGATCTTAATGGAAAACTTTGATACAATCTTGGGACATAAAACATTTAACAATTTGCTCTTTATTAAATCTAGAATTATAGTTGCGAAACAATTGTAAGGTTTTGTGAAATTTCTGGAGATATAAGCATTATGGAATTTAATTGAAAATTTCGAGTTTTAAAGCTGGAGTAGGTTCAAGTTAATCTTATCCGTTAGTATAATCTACTAGAGATTAATTTCTCCGGGAAGAGTTAGAAACCATGAATACCGGTTTCTGATTACTAAGGTTAGGCTCAAAATCTTAAGCTCTAGGATACACGGCTCATTTTCCTTTCTCCTTGAAGGTTTAAACCCCGTTACTCTGGGTTAGTTTACCAACAATGACATATTCACGAAGCATGACAGATTAGAAATCATTCTCTTCCGACATTTTACATTATCTGGTAACGAACCCTGCCCGAGGTTGGATAATTAACCTACAGAGTTGTTGTCATGTCATCATCATACTATCACGTGACTTGATCTCGGGACACCAGGCTTGGTCACGAGACAAGAGAACTATAAGCAAGAGACAAGAGAACTATAATCAAGAGACAAGAGAATTAATCACGAAATAAGTGACCTAATCACAGAACAAAAGACCTATTCAAGAGATTAGAGACCTAATCACGAGACATAATAACTGGTACCCAGATACAAGTCCTGGTCCCTAGAAACAACGTCTGATCAAGTGACAACTGACCTGGTCAAGAGACATGAAAAATAGTCGTGAGACACTAGAAATGGCCATGAGGCTCAAGGTATAGTTCCGAGACAAAAGATTTGATCACGAGACACAGGTTTTTTCACGAAACACAAGATCGTGTCACAAGACACAAGATCTAGTCACAAGACACAATATCTAGTCACAAGACACAATATCTAGTCACAAGACACAATATCTAGTCACAAGACACAAGACCTAGTCACAAGACACAAGATCTAGTCACAAGACACAATATCTATTCACAAGACACAAGATCGTGTCACAAGACACAATATCAATATCACAAGACACAAGATTTGGCACGAGTCACAAGATTTGGCAACGGATCATTGATTATGTATAAAGGTAAATGCTAAATGTTAATAACAAGTTCTTGATCGTGACTGCATGTATTGAATATATCTCTAGGTTAAACCCATCCCTGCTCATCTTATCTGTATTCTATTCAACATTAATCATGGATTTATCAACACCTTGCATTCTCCCAATACCTGGTCACGTGTCAGGTTGGTTTGAGGTTCTAAAACTTATTATAACAAAGTTAGATTAATCAAGTTTAGGATCACTAGGCTTTTATGGCGCTTCGCACCCATCTTCTTTTTCAACTTTTAGTTGTGGCTCTTTCTGTAAGCATCTTCTCTTTGTAAAATATAAAAAAAAAAATCTAGCGGATTTTAAATTTTTTTCGTGGATTTTTAAAATTTTATAGAAATCAAAAAATTTAGAGACAAATTTTTAAAATATGAGCATTCATAAACCTTCCCATAGACCGATTCAGCCGTTTTGACGTTTATTAGATACAAACAGACAAAAAAATGACAAGCAAAGTATATATGTAGCAAATACAGCTAACGAGATCGCGCCCAGTGGTAGTGGCGGGATTGTAGCCGTGTAGATTGTGTTCTTGATGAGACATTGACCAATTAATTGTACCTGGATAGATACTAGTTCGAGAAACTGTTATGGAGTAGGGAATTTACGATTTAGATACAGATTGTAGAGTAAAGTTGTCTGCAATTAAAGGTACTGAAGACTTGCCTCAAACTCTGATTTTGTAATCCCTATATTTGTATTGTATCCTTTGGCTTTTAGAACTAAAAAAGTTCATGATTTGACATATCAAAGGGCTGTAACATCAAGATAAAAGGTTTCAGGATTTAGAAAATTCGAGTTTGAGGCAATTTATCAGTTCCTTTGTCTGAACCCTGGAAAAATGACCAGGTTTACGAAGCTCAGTTTAGTTTTTTCTGAAAATGTTTAAAGTTTCTCGTCTATATCTGCAGGTCAGTAGATCTGGGTAGGAAAATGAAGTGCTGAGTAGAAGCTTAACAAGGGAGCACTAATGAGACTCAGATAATCAGGTGTTGGGAGGTGGGGGGGGGGGAGGAGGCAATTATAATGAAAAGGAGGGATAATTATGTAGAAAGGGAGCGGGAGGGAACAGAGTTAGGAAATCAACTAGAGGGATGGTAACGATGAAGTTATGAAGAGAAAATGAATGGCTCAGATAAAAGAGTTTATATTGGAGAAGAGGAAAGAATGGTTCAGTTCAGATAAAAGAGTTTGTATTGAAGAAGGAGAGAGGATTGACTTTGCTTAAATGTAAGAATTTTTGTATCAAGGAGAAAGGAGAAGGATTGGCTTAGTTCAGATAAAAGACTTTATATTTGAGAAGAGGAAAGTATAAAAGAAAAAAAGTAGAAGTAGAAGGATTACCAGCTTTGGATAAAAGAGTTTCTGTATGGATAAGAGAAGGGGACTGGAAAGCGCTTAGTTTAATTGAAAGAGTTAGTATAAGGAAAAGGAATAAAGAATTAAAGAATCTTATTTTAGATGAAAGAATAAATAGGAAGAGAAGGCTAAAACAGGGACTTAGTTCAGATCAAAGAGTTAACAGGATGATCAGGGGAAAGGGCTCAGCCGAGATGACTAAGAAAAAATACAGTAAAGAGAAGCGCGAAAAAGAAAAGAAAACTGAAGATAGATAAAGTATGGAGATACAAAGACACCAAACTATGGAAAAAAATAAAAATGTATCTAGAAGAAATGAAAAAATAAATATTTTAATTCTCTTTTAAATGCAGAATATTGATTTAAAAATGATTTCCTTGATTGGTTCTCTGCCCGGGAGCGGAGACCGTTCTCTTCGTTTAATTTTCTCCTCAAGAGGACAGTAGGTGACCAGGAGACTCCCGTCCTTATCCTCGGAGGCAACCTCGTTCCTGGTGTTAAACGTGACCCTGTGGATGGATTGGCGGACCGGAGTATCTAATCTTCCTCCGTCCCCTCTTGTCAGCTCCAAACTAAAATAATTCAAGATTTAATTTCCATTCAGAGAAAAACAATAATTATTGTTTTTTAATTGAATATATTTTATTTTTGGTTTGATATGAAACTATCTCTAATACAATTGTATCCCTCGAATGGAAACCTTCAGGTTGATATTTTCTATGAAGAGATTTCTCCAGGATATAGATAGAATATTAACCAGGTCGCATGATACACAAACCTCCAACTAGTTAGGACGGATTTATAGAAATATCTTTTAAGAAATATCGTTGTTAATCTTGTTTTTTTAAACAAGAAAAGTTAAACCTACGGGCACATAGGGTCGAATTTTCAAACCAAAAATATGCTTGCTCTGTTAAATTCATGACATGGAAACCGACCTAAAGGGATGCCGAAACTTTTTTTAAAACTTTTAACCAAAAAAGTAGTTGAACTCTTCTCGCTATTTTTTGGCTTTTGATTCCTAAGTCTAATTTAATTCCTCCTTCGTACAACCAAACAAATATGTCTTACACTAAGTTTAGTTAGGGTTTATTATATTTTCAGGATTCCTCTAGATCTAGGTTGTGTTTAAAGATAGAGTAAAACATGAATATTAGACATGAGATGAAAAATTCGTTTTGTACCCCGGCTGGAGATTGTTGGTTGGAATTTAAAATTTGTTCCAATCAGGGGGCGGGCATAACTCTCCTAATTTTGCCTGGCTAGGTTTAAACTGTACAGTGAAATTTGTCGAAAAATGTTTCCTTATGACTGAGTTGGTATCATAGAGTACAGTGGGTTTAATCCTAAGTACATCTATTTGTACGGTATTGAGTGGACAGTTAATTTTAATATTTTTCAACAATGAGATATTGTAGTGTCAAAATTTGTGTAAACAACGATGTATCATTTGTTATATTTATACATCAAAAAGGGGATTTAGGGGGGGGGGGGGTCAAATTGAATCTATGTAGGAAAGTCCCTGGAAAAAAGTTTCTGGAAAAAAACAGCTGGAAATAAAAACTTTAGAAAAAAAGTCCGAATTTTATCAAGTCCTTGGAAAAATTGTCAGTGGAAATAAAGTCCGGTGTTTTGGATTCCTGGGACTTTTTTTCCTAAAATAGTGTGGGGGGCTGCCAGCCTGCCAATAAAGTCTCAGAAAATAAGATACCAGGAAAAAAAGTCCTGAAGAAAATAAATCCGAGGAAAAGAAAACCTAGAATTGTGAATCATTCATTTTCACTTGTTAGAGGACTTTTTTGTATAAAATCATACTGGAGCCAGAAAAAAGTCCTAGAAAATAAAGTCTCGAATTGGTAGGACTTTATTTCCGGAGACTTTTTAATAAAAGGACTTTTTTCCACAGGACTTTTACAGTGTGAAATTTTAGGACTTTTTTGCCGGAAACTTTTTTCCAAAGGGTTAAGGAGAAGGATTTTATTTTTTTCTCTATTTGTCATGTCTCATTTTTATACAAAAATCATATGGATTTGTTTTCTTTGCTTGAATATTGTAGTCTTCACTTTCAAACAATAACTTTCAAAACTGATCTACGAATTATGATCCCCCCAGGTAGAATTTCTGAGCGGGTCATTGTGTACAGTGGCTGTACAACAAGAAGTCTAAAATTCCAGATGCCCCCTCTATTACTAATATCTCGATGGTTCCAATCCATCATCTACTTCAAATCTTTCCGCCCTCACTCCATCTTCCGACGGAAGACTGGATTTTTAACTCATTTAATATTAACATTAGGCACTATATTAGAAAGGCCGGGAGAAGATGATAGGATTAGATCGGTAATCTATGCTTCGTTCAATGTGACAGCTTTGGTTAAAATAATTTTTTTTTCAATTTATACAATATACTGATATTTAGTTTCCGGGGTTGCAAAAGCAAATACTACTAGTTTAAGATTGATTAATGGTTTGATAACAGGAAGACTATACTTTTATTAACCATATGTCCCTTAAATAATATCCAGACAATCAACTCAATTTATAATTCACTTTCTCTTGAACCCTCCTACCCGTATTTGTCTAACTCTACGCTGCATGAGTCAGTTTCTAAAGAATTTTTAAAATTGAATCAATCCTTCTCACCCTGCCTCAACATACTACACGCCTGTTAAACAGTTAACCTGGAAACACTAACAAACCCTGACTTAACACGGTAAAAAGTTTTAAACAAACTAAACTTCAGGAGTTTTCTTGTAATCACGGGATTAAAGGATCTTGTCATTTGAATATTTTCACTTGAATATATGATCTTGTCACTTGATATATGATCTTGTCACTTGAATATAGTCACTTGATATATGATCTTGTCACTTGATATATGATCTTGTCACTTGAATATATGATCTTGTCACTTGTTGTGACTTAATTATCTGATCTTGTCACATGAATATATGATCTTGTCACTTGAATATATGATCTTGTGACTTAATTATCTGATCTTGTCACATGAATATATTATCTTGTTACTTGAATATAAGATCTTGTCACTTGAATATATGATCTTGTCACTTGAATATAGAATCTTGTCACTTGAATATATATGATCTTGTCACTTGAATATATGATCTTGTCACTTCAATATATGATCTTGTCACTTGAATATATTATCTTGTCACTTGAATATATGATCTTATCACTTGAATATATGATCTTGTCACTTGAATATGTGATCTTGTCACTTGAATATATGATCTTATCACTTGAATATATGATCTTGTCATTTGAATATATGATCTTGTCACTTGAATATATGATCTTGTCATTTGAATATTTTCACTTGAATATATGATCTTATCACTTGAATATATGACCTTGTTACTTGAATATATGATCTTATCAATTGAATATATTATCTTGTCACTTGAATATATGATCTTATCACTTGAATATATGATCTTATCACTTGAATATATGATCTTGTCCCTTGAATATATGATCTTGTCACTTGCACTTGAATATATGATCTTATCACTTGAATATATAACCTTATCACTTGAATATATGATCTTATCACTTGAATATATGATCTTGTCCCTTGAATATATGATCTTGAATATATGATCTTGTCACTTGAATATATGATCTTGTCACTTGAATATATGATCTTGTCGTTATAATGTGTTTTTTAGATTACACTTCAAGATCTTGTCAAGTAATTATAAGACCTTGTTACGTAACTGTTGGATTTGTAACGTGATAAAAGGATCTTGTTACGTAATAAAAGGGTCTTTCCCGTAATGAAAGGATCTTGTGACGCAATGAAAGGACCTTGTCACCTAATTATAGGATCTTGTCACGTGTTTATTGGATCTTGTCACGTGTTTATAGGATCTTATGACGTGTTTAAAGAATCTTGTCACGTGTTTATAGGATCGTGTCACGTGTTTAAAGGATCTTGTCACGTATTTATAGGATCATGTCACATTTCCATAGGATCTTGTCATGTGTCTTTAGGATCTTGTCACGTGGTTATAGAATCTTTTCACATAATTTGATTGTCGCAGATGTTAAAAAAAAGCTTTAAAGCTTGTCTGCAAAAAATCATGTTTTACTGTTTTACTGTCATCATTAGAAATATTAAACATTCATACTCAGTCAAACTTAAGCCTCAGCTTATTAGATACTTTAAACCTTAACTCAACTGAACCTAATCCTTCTTAAGAAATCAACCCTTCTCCTCTAAACCTACACTTAAGAACCAAAACCTACTTTATAAATTAAAACCTACTTCAAGAACCTGCATCTACTTTAAGAACCTGGACCTAATTTAAGAACCCAAACCTACTTTATGAACCTGAACATACTTCAAGAACCCCAAACCGACTTTAAGAACCTGAACCTTCTGTATGAACCTGAACCTACTTGAAGAACCCAAACCTACTTTAAGAACTTGAACCTCCTTTAAGAACCTGAACCTACAACGAGAACCTGAATTTACTTGTAGATCAAAACCTACAATGAGGTATTTAATGAACGGGCAAATTCTAAAAAAATGCATTTTTTCAATTAAATTCAAATCAAACATAAAAGCAACATGTATATATATGTTTTGCAGAATTACAGGTTTTAGTTAAATATTTTTTTAAATGCGAATATATCTTAGACATCTTGACTAAAGTTTATGTTTGACATATATAGATTATAGAGAGAGAAATAGCTTTTAGTCGGAACGGAAATAGTTCATTGACATTGATGGGAGCAGACTCAGAGGAGTACAGAGGAAACAATTTAATCCAAGTAGGCCTCAGGATTGGGCAGTATAGTTTCAATATAAGCAGTTTAAAACATTAGGCCTTGATTTCAGTAAACTCAGATTTAAAACAGAAAGCATAGATCATTTAAAAAGCAGAAATCTTAAAATTCAAAATGTAAGTATTATCGGTAAGAATTGATTACAAACAGTTTAAAGCAGTAAGCCTAGAATACAAACAGTTTAAAGCAGTAAGCTTAGAATACAAACAATTTAAAGCAGTAAGCCTAGAATAAAAACAGTTTAAAGCAGTAAGTCTGGAATACTAACAGTTTAAAGCAGTAAGCTTAGAATACAAACAGTTTAAGCAGTAAGCCCAGAATAAAAACAGTTTAAAGCAGTAAGCCTTGAATATAAACAGTTTAAAGCAGTAAGCTTAGAATACAAACAGTTTAAAGCAGTAAGCCTAGAATAAAAACAGTTTAAAGCAGTAAGCCTTGAATATAAACAGTTTAAAGCAGTAAGCTTAGAATATAAACAGTTTAAAGCAGTAAGCTTAGAATACAAACAGTTTAAAGCAGTAAGACTAGAATATAAACAGTATAAAGCAGTAAGCCTTGAATATAAACAGTTTAATGCAGTAAGCCTTGAATACTAACAGTTTCAAGCAGTAAGCCTTGAATATACAGATTAAAGCAGTAAGCTTAGAATACAAACAGTTAAAAGCAGTAAGCCTTGAATATAAACAGTTTAAAGCAGTAAGCCTTGCATACTAACAGTTTAAAGCAGTAAGCTTAGAATATAAACAGTTTAAAGCAGTAAGCCTAGAATACAAACAGTGTAAAGCAGAAAGTTTAGAATACAAATAGTTAAAAGCAGTAAGCCTAGAATACTAACAGAAAAACTAGAATATAAACAGTTTAAAGCCGTAAGCCTAGAATACAAACAGTTTAAAGCAGTAAGCTTAGAATACAAGCAGTTTAAAGTAGTAAGCTTAGAATATAAACAGTTAAAAAAGCAATATGAACAGTTTAAAGCTGAAGGCTAAGCATTTAACCATTTTTTTTAAAGTATGTGTGAAGTTGCAGTCTTAAATTCTGTTATCATTAAAGGTATCTGTCTATCTATCTAAGCATATTTCTAACTGTATATCTATCTATCAAGTAAATGTACATCTGGTAAACTGAAGGCATGATTATAGACGTGCCGGGGTTTCGCTTGAATTATTTCTAAGTTTCTCACAGGAAATCTACAAAATATACAACATGAGCCTAAACCTAAACCTGAACCTATACCTTAACAAAGCGTAACCAAATCTAAATCTGCACATAAACCTAGCCCTGAACATAAACCTTAAGAAAAGCGTAACCAAACCTAATTCTTAAAATAAACCTGAAACAAAACCTTTAAAACCTATCCTAGAAGCAGTTGGCGGATAAATTGTGAAGAAAGAGTAAACAAAAGAAAAAAGCAATTCATCACTTTAATATTTTAGAAAGAGTCATTTTTCAACTAAACAGATGGAGGGTTTTATAGAAGGTGAGGAGGGGGAGGGGGAGGAGTAGGAGGATTTTAAGATTTGAATTTTTCCGAGGCAAGATAATTTATCAAGCTTATGACTTTCATGCCCCACCCAGGGATACAACATAATAACATTAGTTATGTCACACCCTGGATAAGATTACACAGACATAATTACATTAATTGCACCACACCCTGTCTGAATTATTCAATTCTCTATGAACTCAGGGGCATTAAGCATAATTTGTGCTTAGAAGAAAAATCTAAAAAGTATAAAAAATTGTGTGCCTGAAACATTAAATAATAATTTGCAAATAAAAAATAAACAATAAATATATAAAAATAACATTAACATAATTATTCGCACACAATAAACCTTTAATTAGCGCTAATAATAAGCAGGAAGCAATGTTTAGTGTTCTTAGTTTACACTGTACACAATAGAATACTTTGGCGGATTTTTAGCCGTGGAGATGTGATTTGTCAGGCAACATGAAACATGCAACTGCAATAACTTTATACAAAACTTTAATAAAGTTGTGTTTTGGTTCCATTTCACCAGTTCGATTAATATTGTTGAGTTGAGGGTTGAGGAAGAAAAAGTTTTGGCAGGTCAACATAAATCTTAAATAATAATTAATGGGGGGAAAAGGTGACGAGAAAATGAGAATTTACGAAGAAATAAGCAGAAAAAAACCCAAAAGAATGTGAGTTAAGTGATTTTTTTATATTGTGCGTACTATGTATGTATCTTCAGTGTACAATAATGCATTTGTTTTACATTACATTTACATTCTACACTCTTTTGTATACACTCTATATTGTATTCTAGAGTCTACATTATACAATCTGTACTCTTAGAGTCTACAGTCTGTACTCTTAGAGTCTACAGTCTGTACTCTAGAGTCTACAGTCTGTACTCTAGAGTCTACAGTCTGTACTCTAGAGTCTACAGTCTGTATCTAGAGTCTACAGTCTGTACTCTAGAGTCTACAGTCTGTACTCTAGAGTCTACAATCTGTTCTTTAAAGTCTACAGTTTGTAGGTTTCTAAATAAATATTCTAGTCTGGAAGTTTAAGAAACTGTTAACATTTAAAGTAGGTACTAAAGCATGCACTAACCAAAACCTGACTTCAAAAAATTACGAACAAAATTCTAGGTCTTTCAAGATTTTTGGGGACAATGTGAAGTCTATTATTATGTTTAGTCGTGGAAAAGCATTCGAATTATTCATAAATATCTCATAAACAAAATGTTGTAAATAAACATGACAAAATAATGGCTTCAGAGTCAGGGGTTTAGTCAGGAATTTGTCCAGGGGGGGGGCTCAGCACTTTAATCTATAGATTTCACTGGTCCAGGGTGGGGGCTTAGCCCCCATAGCCCCCCCCTGACTACCATCTGTTCAGAGTGTAAATTGTGAACTAGCGCCTTGAATAAAAATGATTCAAAACGATGGAATTTTTTGGTTAATTAGGAAAGCTAGTCAACGAGTTATTTTTTGAACTTTTTGTAAACTGTGGACTAAGTTTCAAACTTAACTATTCAATTTTCTTTTCAAATTTTATTACAAAGTTTTACAAAAGAGACCTGGAAATATTATTTAGAAAAAAAAATTAAACCTGTCGAAGACATATTTTTATTACACACAAAGATGCGCAATTCTGGAGTTTTTGCAATAATAGAATCAAGAAAACGTTAAATTAAACTTACTTGTTTTCCAGCTGGATCTCATAACAATCCATCCTAGTGCACTCAGTTTCATCTTTATTAGACGGCGGAGAAACAATTTGCCCTTCTTCAACCAGCGGCGGAGAAACTAGTTGCCCTTCTTTATTCAGTGGAGGAGACATTATCTCTTCTTTAATAATTGGCGAAGATACTACAAACTTTCCTTCTCCATTCAGTGGCGGAGTGTCATCTTTAACAAATGGCGGAGATACTAGCTGCCCTTCTTCAACCAATGGCTGAGATAGTAGCTGCCCTTCTTCTTTAAGTGGCGGAGAAACAATCGTTTCTTCCTCAACGTTTAGCGGAGCGTCAAACTGCCCTTCTTCAACATTTGAAGTTGAACTAAATAACTCCAATGAACCAAATTGAACCAAACTTTCGTTTTGTTCAATAATAGTTGAACTTTCTATTGTTTTGTTCAGATGTTCTTCATCTTTTGTTAGTTTAATGACATCTTCTGCTATTTCTGTTTTCTCTTCAAATGTATTTTCAATATCAAATTCCCCTTCCTGATTTTTCTCATTTTCTTCTGTAAATTTGCTCTCGATCTTTGTTTCATCATTTAACTTGTTTTTATTTTCCTCTTCTGTAGATTTTTTTTCATTCTGATCTTCACTAAATGTATTTTCATCTTCTTTTTCTTGATGTTTTGTCTGAATGGCTCCTTGGTCTGAATGATCTTCATCTTGCTCTGCATGTGTATTCTCATCAATCTTCGCTTCAGAAGGTTTGGTTTGCTCCAGGTCTATCTCAACACAAGAAAAATCTTGCTCCGCAGATTTACGTTCGTTCTTTAAATTTTCCAGCTGTAAATTTATATTTTGTATCCTCAACTCAACATCCTCGTCCCTAACCTCCGACCTCCATAACTCGACTTCAACAATAAGATCGTCACTAGTGTTCACCGGATCGTCCGAGGTCTCGCTGATTATCGAACTATTCCGGCTCGAACTCGTCTCTGTTCCGTCCTGTGTTCCGTATCCATCCTCGACCAACCCGTTCCCGTTGAACTCGTCAGCGTCGACCTTGTTCCTCGTCTCAACCCTGCCCCGGGTCTCCACCCTTGCCTCCTGGTTCTGAACTAACGATATCTCTGAGAAGAGATGAAAAATCAGATCAAATTATCAGGTTTAAATTCTCCAGATTTGGTTCTAAGTCTCCAAATAAGGCTTTGAAACGATCTAAGTGTTAAACCAGACCGTCTTAAAACGCCCCAAGAAGAATGCCTTAAAACTCAATTTCCTTCAATTATTTTCTTTTGCATCATTTCAAGGCTGGTACTTTTATATTATATGGCTTTTTTCAGATATTGATATCCCATTAATAACCAGCATAAAATCATTTATATTGAAGTTTTACCAAAAATGTATGAGAAGTATCTACGCCTGGGATATCTAGCGTATTTTGACGCTTCGCTTGTGCGACAAAGTGACGCCAATTGAACAAATGGCGTTAATTGGCCGATTAAAATTCCAGTGTTTCAACATTTATTGGAACTAGTTTAAATAGTTTGAATCATACTCCCACTATTAACCCCCCCCCCTCCCCTTCTTCTTTAATCTGCATTAGACTCGAAATGTTAATCACACAAATACATTTTTTAGTTTTACGAGAAACTCTTTAAATCATATTACAAGTGAAAGCAAAATATCTGTAATCTAGAAATTATCTTAAACTTAAATTTTAATCCTAATCGATCCTGATGAAAGCTTGCATTTAAAAACTGAAAAGGAATTGAGTCTTTGGTGCAACAAACTCAGATAATCATCACTTTTGTTTGCAACCTCCAGAGAGGGGGGGGGGTTGCTCCCCCATTGAAACCATATTTTCACTGATCCAAGGGGGCGGCACAACCCGAATAGCCCCCCCCCCCGTGTATACGCCCCTTCAATCTAAAGGCAGAAAGCAACTAGTTTACAAGAAAAAGAATTAAGTTAACCACTAAAAAGTCTTTAATTTGACGGAATGCTCGAATTCTAAGAAATGATGAAAACCAGAATGTCGTGGGAAATTAAATTATAATTCAAGAAAATGAAACTATTTTTGAAAACAAATCCGCAACTGCATAATACTGGTTTAAACAGACATAAAATACAGGATTACGAGGAAATATATTCAATGTGAAATACAAAACAACTTTCTTTCACTAAGCTTATAGAGATGAAATATTCAGTTCTTAAATACCATTTCTTTTATCTGACATCATTAATTCAGATTAGAATAAAAATACTTAATATAAGAATATATTTCATCAGAAAAAAGAAATTGCAGAAGAAAAGTTTAAAATTTTGTGTTGCAATTCCTATATTTTATTACTGTGTTTTTGTTTTGTTAAAGTGTTATGAATTCTGAATTGAAGTATGAAAATGATCGGAATGTTTCGAGATCTTTTTATGATTAAAAACAGTGTAAAATCTTTAACTTCAATTCATTTCTTTAGCCAACCTTTTTGTTCTAATTTAAGAATGATTGTTTACGACTGAAATTAAGCATTTTACTCTGTTATTTGTTCATCTATATTTATGGTCATTTAGAGGTAGTTAATGGCTTTTTCTAGCATTAATTCTATTCATTCTTCCCTTATAGGAATATTGTAGTATTAGACAGTAGTGACTATAGTTAGTTTGGGTAAATTCCCTTATAGGAATATTGTAGTATTAGTCAGTAGTGACTATAGTTAGTTTGGGTAACTTTTCTTATAGAAATACTGTATCAGTCAATAGTGACTATAGTTAGTTCGGGTAATTTCCCTTATAGGAATGTTGTAGTATTAGTCAGTAGTGACTATAGTTAGTTTGGGTAACTTTTCTTCGCTACTAAATTTTAATTAAAGGGACTGTAAGTGTAAATTTAAATGACCCTCCATGGGAACGAGAGCAATGTCCGATTTCTAACAGTACCCTTGAAACCTTAATCTGATGTTGGAGATATCGCTGTTTTTTTTTACTCGAAAAGTGTTTATTTTTGTGAATATTTCCATTGATTAATTTTTCGATCTTATAAGCTAGAAATGCTTTTGCAGGGAAACCACACATGAAAGTAAATAGTTCAAAATGAATATCTAATTCATACTTGATCAGCTGAAACTTTCAAGGATACCGTTATAAATCAGGCATTGCCATCTTTGCCTGGAGGGTCACTTGAAATTATGCTTAGTCTCTTTAAAGGATTGTTTATTGAACCTTTAGAGATCAGATTAACATCCATATATCGTTTAACCTGATTGTGTAAACCTTTTAGACCTCAAAATTTTACTTTTTGATCGGGCAAAATTAAAAATCTCTACGAAGTCAGGTTTCAAAGCTATTTGGATTAGAAAATTATATTTTTGGCTATTTGAATTAGAAAATTATATTTTTGGCTATTTGAAATTAGAAAATTATATTTTTGGCTATTTGAATTAGAAAATTATATTTTTTGCTGTTGAATTGAAAAATTATATTTTTGGCTATTTGAATTAGAAAATTATATTTTTGGCTATTTGAAATTAGAAAATTATATTTTTGGCTATTTGAATTAGAAAATTATATTTTTGGCTATTTGAATTAGAAAATTATATTTTTTGCTGTTGAATTAGAAAATTATATTTTTGGGGAAATCCAACCTTTTAATTCAATTCCTTTTAACCCATTTAAAAAATGTTTAATATATCATAACTTTTAAAAACATTTTTTGGTATTTCTGTTTAAAATAGAAATGTAGTATATTTACATATTTATGTCATATGTATTGGTTATGGTGTTTTTTTTTATCAATAATTTTATCAATATTTAATCATTACTTTTCAGAAGCTCAAGACATCTAATAAAAAACAGTAATTCTATACATGCATAATCAATTTATAGAAAAAGTTATTAGTGACTATATATATATATGTATATGTATACATTTATTTGTGTAATATTTATTTTTCACTGTGTTTTTGAGAATCATGAACATGGAAATGACTGTTTAAAGGGACTGTAAACGTTATCGTAGGAAAAAAATTATTAAGAGAATGTTGTTTTTGTGGCTATGAGGCGAACTCTGAGAAAAAAAATTAATTCTGATATAAATAAATTTTTGTAGTTGTTGCAATATTACACTATTAAAAGCTGATAAATTAAAAAAATTAGAAAAATGATCTTACTCAAACTGAGAAATTACTAAGTTTTAGATATCAAAGATTTACAACATTGGGTTCCAGAGATATAGGGATTATAAATTCAGAGTTTGTGGCAAAGACTCAATTCCTTTCCGGGGAATTATGAATACAAAATAACCAATATAAGCAGTGAGCAGTGAGCAATTCATGAATAAGGAGCAAGAGTTGCAATATTTAAAATTCCATTTAGGAGGGAAACTTAAGTGTCAACAGGGCTTGCTTTCATAGATAAACATATGGAATGCATTCTAGACATAGGAGGTGGAAATATAGTTTAAATTCTTGAAATTATTTAAAACTTTATAACTTTGAAAATATGAAATCTATTTCAATGACTTCGACCTATTTAAATATTTTCTCTTTGAAACCTAAGCCTGGACATTATTTTGAATTTATCGTATGTACAAGCTTGCCTGATATTATCCGGGATTAAAGAATATATATTCTATCAACTTGATACACTTTAACTTTATTGATCCATGGTTTCATTTTATGACGACATTTACAGTTTAAAACACTTCAACAGGAGATAATTATCAATGGCTCCTTTTTTTGGCTCCAACTAAACATTTTACTGAGTTTTTTCTCTTTCCTAGAAGATTATCCACAATACGGGATATTTCGGGCGCTTCCTCTTCTTCCTGTTGAAGCGTGGACCCGGAGTTAAGAAGAACTGGTCCGCGCTGAACCAACATTTTATATCACGATTATTATTAATCAATTAATAATAATTAGGTTATTTTGTCAAGTTCACTGAAACCACATGTGTTTAGCCGGGCATGGGCAGGCATAGACTAAAGTAGCTCTGCTTGAAGCTGTCCCCCTATCCTCCTCCTCCTCCTTCTTCTCCTTCTCCCCCCCGGTACAAATACAGCTGCGCCCGGTATCACAGCTTGCAACAGCAGCAGCAGTCATTTTCGGAGCCTGGAGTATCCATCCACAACCCAACCCTACTCCCTAGTCTACTCAGTCTACAGCCCATTTTTAAGCAGACACTCAAATATCGTAAAGACAAATATTGGACTGGATGACTGTGGGGTTAAATGAGTGGCCATGTTTATTTTCTGCCTGTCCGAGGAGTCCGAGTCAATATTTATTTTGTCATATTTAACCATAGAAAACATTCATTTTACAAATTGAGTTTAAAACGATGATCAGTTAGATTTTTTTCTCGTTTTTATTTGATTTGGGGACTTTAAAGGAATTAAGTCATTGCCGCAAACTCAAATTTACTAATCCCCATATCTTTGCAATATTATGATGTAAAACGTTGATATTTTAAGCTTAGTTTTTTGATCGAAAGTCATGGGCTGCAAAGATATAGGGATTAAAAAATCAATTCCTTTGTAAGCATTGTCAAAATTAATCCCTTTTTTCAGAAAAGATAAATATTTATTTTCTTGTTTGAGCTAAAATCAGTTTTATCTAAATTATGTTATCTTATTTTTGTATTTCTAAATTCATGCTGTGATATCATATATTATATTTTTTACATTTGCCATTATTTTATTGTTATATGCATTTATTATATGTGGGTACTTGATTTTGTATTTTTGATATGATTAACTGTTTTTATCAGTTTCAGTTTTTTATCTAGGTCCATGTTTGTGCACTATACTGGTTGTGCCTTTATGTTCATTTTTTCTGTTCAATTGTACCTTTCCGTTCACTTGTATCTGTTTAATTGTACCTTTCAGTTCACTTGTATCTGTTTAATTGTACCTCTCCGTTCACTTGTATCTGTTTAATTGTACCTTTCCGTTCACTTGTATCTTTTTAATTGCACCTTTCCGTTCACTTGTATCTGTTTAATTGCACCTTTCCGTTCAATTGTATCTGTTTAATTGTACCTTTCCGTTCACTTGTATCTGTTTAATTATCTTTCTGTTTTTTGTGCCTTATTGTTAATTTGTGTCTTACTGTTTATTTTGACCTTTTCGTTAATTTTCATCATTTGTATCTTTCTGGTTTTATTGTATTTCTTTGTTCATATGCATCTCTCTGTTCAAATGAGTTTTTCTGGTTTTTTTTGTAAATTTTTGTTTATTTGCATTTTTCTGTTTATTTGTATCTTCTTTTATTTGTATCTCTCTGGTTATTTGGACCTTTCTGTTCACAAGTGAAAAGAAAGTGAACAAAGTAAACCTTCAGTTGATGTCTAATGTCTATTCAAAGATTTGTGGGTAACCCTGCATCTTAGAAAGGTTAAGGTGAAAGGTTAAATAGTTTTCTAAATAATAATAATACACTAATTATTGATAGTAATTTTGTTGCGATTTCATGTTATTATCAATGCCTGATTTCTAAAAATCTCAATGTTATCAAAACTTTTCAGCTTTTTTACACATTTGTAAAAGCTTCAATATTCATGATAAAATGACATTTATTCCCCCTTCCCCCCCAGCTTCTTAAAATTCATTTCACAGAAAGTTTATCGATTTTGCAAAAATTTTCAGCCAACATTTATTGCGAATTTTACAGAAGCGTAGTAAGAGGCAACCGAGGGGGAATTAGAGGATGGGGAAATAAGCATAAAGTGGGGGAAACAGTATATATAAAATACTGAACATAAAATATACTAAAACAATACAATACAATATACAATATAGAATATACAATAATACAATATACAATATACAGTATACAATATACAATATACAATATACAATATACAATATACAATACAGTATACAATATAAAATATACTATATACAATATGTACAATAATACAGTATACAATATAAAATATACTATATACGATCTACAATGTACAATATATACATTATACAATATACAATGTACAATGTACAATATACAATATACAATATACAATATACAATATACAATATGGAGTATACAGTATAAAATATGCAGTATACAATATACAATATACTATTTACAGTATACAATATACAATATACAATATACAGTATACAATATACAATAATACAACATACAATATACAATATACTATATACAATATACAATATACAATAATACAGTATACAACATAAAATATACTATATACAATATGTACAATAATACAGTATACAATATAAAATATACTATATACGATATACAATGTACAATATATACATTATACAATATACAATGTACAATGTGCAATATACAATATACAATATACAATATGCAATATAATACAATATACAATATGCAATATGGAATATTCAATGTACAATATAGAATATGCAATATATACAATATACAAGTTACAATATGCAATATACAATATGCAATAAACAACATACAATATACAATATATAATATACAATATACAATATAATACAATATACAATATGCAATTTGGAATATTCAATGTACAATATAGAATAAGCAATATATACAATATACAATATGCAATATACAATATACAATATACTTTATACAATATACAATATACAATATACAATATACAATATGCAATATGCAATATACAATATACAATATACAATATACAATATACAATATACAATATACAATATACAATATACAATATGCAATATGCAATTAGCAATATACAATATGCAATATGCAATATACAATATACAATATACTATATACAATATACAATATACAATATACAATATACAATATACAATATGCAATATGCAATTAGCAATATACAATATACAATATACAATATACAATATACAACATACAATATACAATATACAATATGCAATATACAATATACAATATACTTTATACAATATACAATATACAATATACAATATACAATATATAATATACAACATACAATATACAATATGCAATATGTAATATAAAATATATCTCAGATCAAGTTATGATTGCTAATGAGTTCAATAAATATTTTTCATCTATTGCCCAATCTTTACAGAAGCTATTCCTAAAGTAGGTTAAAAGATTTTTCAAAATTTCTTTGACTTCTTCTAATCTAATACACTTTTCAGTGTAGCCTTTGCCGACGACACAAATGTGGCATCAAAATGTAAAAACTTGAATACTCTAGCAGACACAGTAAATAAAGAATTAGAAAAAATAGCTTGTTGGTACATGTCTAATAAACTTACTATTAACTTTGAGAAAACTAATGCAATTTTATTTTCAAATTCTTTAAATGCACAAAACGACTGTCCTGATGTTTTCTAGGAGAAACTACACGAAAAATTTAACGCATAAAAGAAACAGATTCAGTTAGTTTCTTGGAAATATGGCTGGATACTAAAATTGAACTTTTATGGCTATTTAAAAAAGATATACAGGCGATTAATTAACTTTTTTTACTTAATGCTATGAAAAAAATTAAAACTTCTTAAGCTTACCATGAAATAGCTTTATATTTCTCCTTTTTTCACTCTCATTTAGAAATTAGTTCACCATTTTTAATGCTAACTTCAAACACAAATATTGATAAGATAGAATCATTGCAAAAGAAAGCTATTTGTATATTGTTGGGGTTACCTTGAAAAAGTCACACAGCGGAAGCGTTTTGGGCTTTGAACATACTCCTCTTCAGAAAATTAGCAATTTTTAATGTTATAAAATTTTTATTTCAATTTAAAGGAGATCAATTACCCCCTACTTTTAAAAAAGATTTCGTATTATCAAAAAATATCAAAAACGGAAATCTTAGAAACAGAAATGATTTTTAAATTCCTAGAGTAAAATCTGTTAAAATTGGACTGCTTCCTCCTCACAATTACCCTAAAATATGGTATGGAAATAAACAGCACTTTTCAAAGCTTTCTAATATCAATCTTTTTTCGAATTTTAAACAGGTTTTAATTGAAGAGTTTTATCAGCAGAACAAATGTTTTAATTCGAACACTTGCAAAAGAATCGAAGAAAGCAAAGACTAAAAAGATTAACAAGAGTAAAAGATATAATCAAGCATAAAGGATGTCAAATATCGGCGCGAATTTAAAAGATGCTTAAATATGCCCGTTTTGCGTAGAACCTATATCTTTTTCACAACCCATAAAGCGTTTCAAAAAAAAATTCTTTAACATTACAAATATATAAAAAGTAANGGGGGGGGCTCATTTAATATTACATCTGCTTGCATTTCCCTTCCTCAGTCAATCTATATTCTACATTGCATTGCATTGCACTCCCACAAACTTGAAGATTAAGAAAAGAAACAAATTATATTCTGATTCATAACAATATCCTTAACAAAGCTTTGTCTGATCAAGTATTAAATTAAACATCCATGTTTTCCATTTTGAAAACTTATTATTTTTATTTGTGGTTTCTCTACAAAAGTGACTCATGCATTTCTTGCTTCAGAAACGATGGAGAAAAGAATTGGTTTCAAAGGCACATCGGACATACCACTTTATAAATGGAGGGTCAATTGAAATTACGAATGTATTCCATTTAAGTATAATTACATCACATAATAAAAAATACATTAAAGTCTCACTTTTGCCCTTAACTAAAAAAGTTTCATTAAGAAAGCTTTAATCAATACTGCCTTCAGTGTTAATATATATTTGATATCTTTATTCATAATTTATGGGGGGGCACAATGTTGCCAAGGGGGGCACCAAAAATGCCCCACCCAAACCCTATACAATTGTCCTGATTATACATTATGCAATTTACAATGTATCTACATTATAAAAAAGACGAATTAAAAGAAACTATTGAAAAGAAATTGAAAACTTGTTATTGAATATACTTTTCATTTTAAATAATATACAAACAGATTTATTCATTACTAGTTGAAGGGCCCGGCGCAATGTACCTCAGAACAAGGAAAAAAACTTTATTTCTTTATTTTTTTTATGTTTTTTACCTTTTTCTTGACTGGTACAAGCATAAAGAACAAGGTAAAGTCATTTTTATATGATTTTGCATATTTTTACTCTTGTCGTGAGCCTGTTATATGCAGGTTGTATGTGGGCTAAAATTCACTATAGATTTCAGAGTTTTCATTTTGATATAAAAATCGTCATAAAATGGTCATTTTTCTAAATTTTTCTTTCGTTTTTTTTCGGTAAACACCAGATATATGTTATATTATCTAATATCTGGTTAGTAACTGATATTGGACTTTCATCGACACCAAAAATTAATATTCGAATTTCACAATTTGAGAAAATGGTCACCCATGAGTGTACACAAAAAATTTCAGCCCAATCGGTCCAGCTGTTTGGCCGGCTATAGGCAACATATAAATATACGAATGTCATGTTTTATTACAATGGATACAAGGTATATGAATACCTTTTCTCCTTTTCTCCCCTTATCTCCTCTAAACCTCTCTTATTGTTCTTAACTTCTCTTCTCCTCTTTACCTCACTTACCATCCTCTTCTCAGCTAAACCTCTCCTGTTTCTCCTATTATCCTCTTCTCATCTAAACCTCTCCTGTTCCTCCAATTATCCTCTTCTCATTTAAACCTCTCTTGTTCCTCCTGTAATCCTCTTCTCATCTAAACCTCTCCTGTTCCTCCTGTTATCCTCTTCTCATCTAAACCTCTCCTGTTCCTCCTGTTATCCTCTTCTCATCTAAACCTCTCCTGTTCCTCCTGTTATCCTCTTCTCACCTAAACCCCTCCTGTTCCTCCAATTATCCTCTTCTCATCTAAACCTCTCTTGTTCCTCCTATTATCCTTTTCTTATCTAAACCTCTCCTGTTCCTCCTGTTATCCTCTTCTCATCTAAACCTCTCCTGTTCCTCCTATCCTCTTCTCATCTAAACCTCTCCTGTTCCTCCTATCCTCTTCTCGTCTAAACCTCTCTTGTTCCTCCTATTATCCTTTTCTTATCTAAATCTCTCCTGTTCCTCCTAGCGGTAATAATTGTTGCAACATCCCAGCTTTCCACTCTCTTTGAAGACGACCTTTTAGAAAACAACCCTGGGCATTTGCGCACTGTTTCTGTTCCAAGCCCTGAACAACAATGGAAAGGGAGGAAAAGTTTTGCTTAAAATGGAACGATTACAGTTCCAACCTAGAGAAATCTTTCCGGGACCTGAGAACAGAAAAAATCTTGTTTGACGTAACACTAGCCTGTGAAAATACACAGGTCGAGGCCCACAAAGTAGTTTTGTCAGCTTGCAGTAACTTTTTCAAAGATATTTTCAAAAACAATCCCCACCCTCACCCCCTTCTCTATCTCAGGGGGATAAAGCTATGTCAGCTGACCTCTCTGCTAGATTTTATGTACAATGGTGAAGTAAACATGGGACAAAGTGATCTAACCGAATTTCTGGCTGTATCTGGAGATCTGGAGGTGAAGGGCCTTACTCCCGACGGCGACGTTGTGGATAAAGAAGCGGCGGGAACTCCTCCTGTAGAACTGAGCGAACCACCGCCCTCGTCACCCACTGCTAAGCGAAGGAAAGTATCTCCTAGCTTGGTAGTCCGACATGATCTTGGACAATCAACATCAGAGAAAGAGGAGAGTGATGGTACTGTTGTCAAAACAGAAAAGGTCTGTTAGATTTTAACCTTCATAATATGTTTTCTTGATTTTTATATTGTCCATTGTCTATTTTTAAATATTTTTTACTCATCATAAATTGCTTTTTTGGATGTATTCACATAATTTCAATGTTTGGAAGTGTACCAGTCAAATCACATTCACTTCGGTATATTCCTAGAGAACGATTTTTGGACCCCCCCAGGCCCCCCCCCTCCTATCAATTTTGTACATGGGTCTGACAGGAAGTGTCTTAACTTAACCTAACCCGTGGCCGCAGCGCTCGGCCCCCTAGCCCATCCTAGCCNCAATAAACGTCAAAACGGCTGAACCAATTAGGCCTAAATTTTGTGTGTGTGTGTGGGGGGGGGGGGGGGGTCCAAAAATCTTCTCTATTATTTTTATATCTAATACATTTTTAAACATTAAAAAACGTAATACAACAACAAAAAAAGTTTTAGTTGATGGTTATTTTGTTTAATGTTTGTCAAATCATTTGAATATATATTTGATATTGTAGACCTTCGGATTTGAGGAGCAGTTAGAACCGTGTGATGATACAGAATTGCCTTTTAATGATTCAAATATGGACGAAGAAAACGATTTCTCGAGATTCGTCGCGGCCGACGATTTCAAGTTTGACCAGAATACCCCAGCAGGTTAGTTACCATACAGCATTAAAATACTTTTTGTAATATACAAAGATTTTTGAAATTCGATAATAAAATACAAAACAAATTTAAATTTTTTTTACGGTACTCAAGATGTTCAATCTTTTCCTTCATAAATAAAAAAAAGACATAGCTTAGTTTAAAAATAACCTCACTCCGATAAACATCTAGAGAGGAATATTATTTCGTTTAAATGTGTTTTGGTATAATAAGATTAAATAACAGTGTCCGAATTTAATGAATTTGAGCCGCGGCTTAAATCTGCCAAACACCGGTTTTAATTGAGCGTCTGCTTAAATCTTGAAAAAATGAATACAATTTTTAGTGGAATCAACCATATTTTAGCCGCGGCTCAAATTCTTTAAATTCGGTCTCAGAAGTGCGCTTTAAAAAGTGTTCATGAGTTGTACAGATTTGTCTACCACACAAAGATTAATTATATGCATCGGCTTTTAATTATCAAAAAAGATTAGAAGACTTCGGTGGAGTCTATTTTACTATTTAAAGAAACTCTGCATGAAAATTGGTTTTTATTTTAAGATCAAAACGAACTCCATGGAATTGATTCCATCTATCTAAAAGGGGCTGTATTTGTAAATTCAAGTGACCCTCCTTGAAAATAGGATAATGTCTGATTCACAATGGTACCATTGAAAACTTTGTTTGATCAATCATTTGGAAGATTTTGGCTTTTCCTAAGTTTAAAAAGTTTTATCTTTGATATTCTGATATGCTTTCCTGCAGTAGTAATGCGTAAGTCACTTTTGTAGAGAAGCCTCAAATTGAAAATAATCAGTTTCAAAATTATATACATTGATATCTAAGTCATACTTGATCAGGCAAAGCTTTAAAGGGTACCGTTGTGAATTGGAAATTGAAATCTTTGCATGGAGCCTGATCACTTGAAATTGCGCGTACAGTCCATCAGTTAAACATTAGTCGTAATAAAATATGATTTTGAAATTATGTTTTTGTTTGTTAGATATGTACGACGAGCACAACGCAAAAGTTGATCTAATGGTTCGATCCAAGATGATGGAGACGGGAGACGGTTGGGCCTGCTCCGCCTGTGTGTTCTCCGGAACCATCAGGAAGGTTTACCAGCATGTTGAGCTGAATCATGTTTCTGTTCAGTACTACTGCCAAATTTGCCAAAAAGTTTGCAAAACTAGAAATTCGCTGTTCTGCCACAGGTACAATATTTCAATTTGGAATGTTTAACTGAATTTTACTTATTATTAATCTTTAAAGGATAAGAGTAAACAATACATACATAAGTTAAGAGTTGATATGAGCTGTACCATTTCTTTGTCTTTCCAAAGTTTTGATACAAAGTATTCTATAGTTCATCCACTGAGAACCAGAAAACTGTTAATGAATGTCGTCTTTTTTCCTATTTAAAGGTTTTATAAATTGTAAATTTAGACAATTTTTCCGAGTATTATTTTAGAAATAGTTAAGTTGCAAATCACAAAATCCTAAGCAACAAAATCTTGGCCATATTTATAATATAAAGATAGATAAGAAGACGAGAATTCCACTGTTTTCTGGTACAACCTTAAGAATGACCGTCCCTGATCTAACTTCGACATTAAACTTGACTAGGGAATTAGATATTAAAATGTTCATCACATTTTTTCTACCAAAGGGGTTGAAGTTAATAGGCTACAAAAATTTGAGAAGTTTTTTTTATTAACTATTCTCCAATCTCCATAAGCAAACTTTAACCGAAAGGGTGTCCAACGAAATATGAAAGTATCAAGACGACTTGAAAGTGATCTTTGATTTTTGAAATAATTTGAATTTATTCGTAAACCTAATTTTAAAGGTAGAATTCTAGAATAAATAATCACAAATGACCCCCGAGTCTAGGGATTTCCAAAATGTGGTCTGCTTTTTTTGTGCTGTCAATTATACCGAAGATCTGAAGAATTTTCTTAGGATTTCGACAATTTTGGTTTAATTTAATAAAATTGAAATCTGAACGAAATTCTTAATATAAATATTGTTTCTTGTTTAGATATCGGTATCATCGGAACAAAACACAGAGCCAAGGGGAGGAGTCGGGAGGGTTCTCACCTCCAAACAAAACCATCTCTTCAGGCCAAGCTTGTACCGGTATGATGAAAGACATGTTAAAACCTCCTTCGAATTACATTCTCGCCAAAATAGAAAATAAATGAAAAAAGCATCAAATATAAGAATTGTAATTTTTAATTATATATTATATGTTATTGGTTTGTAAATACATTAAAAGAAATATAAAGAAATCTGTTCATAGCATCCATATTCCACATATATTTGGCTTGCGTCAGTTGGTTTGTTTGTAGGGCCTCACAACGCTTAAAAAATTGTATCTAAAAAGTTCAATTTATAAAATAGGAAATCCACTTTTAAACGGGATTTATGATGTGCTATGAAAATATGGTGGCATGGAAAGCAACATTTAAAAGCTGAAACTATAAAAAGAGGGTTTTCTACGCCGGGTGTTTCAATTAACAAGAGAATTACGACACTTTAATTATCTTTTTTAATTCAGAATTATTAGTAATGATATCTCAGAAGTGGCTGATGCTTTATGAGTAGAGGCAGTATCACTATCCAGATATCCAGGATGATGTATCCCAACCTTACGTGGTTTCGTCTTTAAGTTATAGTGTTTGGATGAAAAGCTCCATGGTTAAGATTGTAAAACTTCTAGGTTTGGATAATAAAATCCATAGTTCAAGTGATTAACTACATCAAGACGAATTTAGAGAACAGAGATGTATTATCAATTATTTAGAATATGCAGTGAAACCCTTAATAACGAATACATCGGAAGAATTTATCAAATGTCGTCTTGAAAATTTTTCAATGAGTTTTATACTATATTACGTACATCTTAGTAATTGCGAAAATAAATAAAAAGCCATGAATATACGAGAACAGTTTTAAAGAGTTCCATATAATCATTTAATTAAAAAACTAAATATCTGCAACATTCCATTATCAGAAAATGAAGAATACGACATTTGATGAATTCTTTCGATGTATTCTTTATTAAGGGTTTCACTGTATAACAGCCAGAAAAACAATTCACTGCACAATGTTAAAATTTAAAAATAAATGTGTAAAAAGAGAACACCTTATTCAGTAAATACGTAACAAGAAACCTAAAGATGGATTTGATGTCAACTAAACTAAAGATTTTATTAGAGTTTATCCCTTGAACTATGGAGATTTTCATTCAAATCATGAAGTTTATTATCTCAAACCCATTGCACTTAAACAATGAAGTTTATTATCTCAAACCTATTGCACTTAAACAATGAAGTTTATTATCTCAAACCTATTGCACTTAAACAATGAAGTTTATTATCTCAAACCTATTGCACTTAAACAATGAAGTTTATTATCTCAACCTTAGAGTTTTGCTTCACCTAAACCATAGCAGTTTAGCTCATGAACCTTGGAGGTTATAATCTAAACCATGGAGTTATTAATCTAAACATTGGACTTTATTGCCTGAACCTTTGAGTTTAAATTCCTAACCTAACCTGAACTATGGGGTTCATCAGCTAAACCTTGGAATTTATCTCCTGAAACATCGAGATTTTTTTCATTTAACCCTGAGTTTATCACTTAACCTTAGAGTTTATATCCGAACCATGGCATTTTTTTTATTTAAACTGTTGAAAATTTTCATTTAAACCTGAAAGGTTTGCGTTTAACCAAGGAGTTTTTAGACAAAACATGAAGATGTCATTCAAACCATGGTGTTTGCATTTAAACCATGGAGTTTTTCAATCAAACTTATAGTGTTTGTCTTTCATAACATACAGTTTTCATTTAAAACATGGAGTATTTCGTTCTAACACTGAATTTTTTCATCTGAACCTTGGTATTTATCATCATAACCATGGAGGTTTTCATGTAAACCATTAAGCTTTTCATTCAATCACAGAGTTTTTCATCTAAACCATGGAATTTATCATCATAACCATGGAGGTTTTCATGTAAACCATTGAGATTTTCAATTTAACCACGGAGTTTTTCCTCTAAACTATGGTATTTATCATTATAACCATGGAGGTTTTCATGTAAACCATTGAGCTTTTCAATTTAACCACGGAGTTTTTCCTCTAAACTATGAAACTTACTATCCTAACCATAGAGTTTTTTATTTAAATCTTAGAGTTTCACCTGAATACTAAACTGGGTTCTCTTAGACGGATCTAAATTTCTTATCTAAATTTTTATGGTCATATTTCGTAAAATATAGTCATATTTCGTACAACTCTGCATTTCACGGTAGATCGCGAATCATATGTTCTTATGTTCCCCCAGCCTTATTAAATACTTTTCTAACATTGAATATTTGCAAAGACTTTCTTCTAATTTTGATCACACTCCAGTAATATTAATTTCTGACACACCTTTTTAAATGGTTTTGAAAGCTCAATAGTTCGCCTTCCAAGATCGTTTAGTTACTTTTTAATGAGTTTTTTTAACATGTCTCTGGTCCTGGAGAGGAGTGTATAATCTTCGATGTTAACTGTTATAACGGAGAAAATGAAAATATGTTCACAATTACATCAAAAATCAAAGACGACGCTCAAGTCGTCTTGCTACTGTCATATTAAGTGGAACACTCTGTATATTGTTAATCTATTTATTCGTACACAATTATAATGTTACAGTTTAAAAGCAACGAGAATTGAGCTATATAACAATAACTAGCTGAAGGGCCCGACGTTGCCCGTGGAAAAAAAAATATTTTGTTAGCTCATTCGGTCCTGCCGTCTGGCCAGCTATAGGCAACATATATATGAATGTCTTGTTTTATTATATGAATTAATATAGAATTAATATATAGTCGAAAACAATAAAAACATAGTTAGTTGTTATATATAACGTCAATAATTTCAGCTATTTCATCATAATGAAATCCGTCTAAAACATTTCGATTTGACCGGATTAATAATAAAATTTTTAAACAGTGGAATTTTCCACGCATTTTTATGCGGATTCGCATAAATCATGTTTGACTTAAATAGAGAGACTTGTTCAAGGACAATTTATATACATAGGACATAGAGGGCCTAACCCAACCTTTGGGAAGTTGCCGCTTGGGAAATTGCACATTTGGGAAGTTTCCACTTGGAAAATTGCACTTGGGAAGTCGCCCTTAGGACAATGCCTTTGGGAAAGTACCTAACACCGAATTATCAGATTAAAATAGATCTCCAAAGATGTTTAAATTCATCTACATATGGTAATGGGACACTATTTAGAATAATCGTGGATAATCTTAACTGTTTTATCAAATCATTTATATAGATGTAGAATAATATTTAACTCGACAATTAAAACAGTTTTATGATTTGCAAACTTCTCAGATTGTTTTGGAAAATTAAAAGTAAAAAAATTTTAGTTAAAAAAACGATCAATTAATTCAAGTTATTACCCTTCACTACTTGCATGTGCCAAAGTTAACCTAAATTAATGCGTCTATATAATGATGACCTGAAACTGTTGATATTTATCTTATTAATTAAATAAAATTGTTATTAAAAAGGAAAAACGTAGCTGAAGGGTGAGTAAAAATTTTTCAGGACTTATAGTGGAAACTTGACAGTGACAAGGCGTATTGTGTAGAAAAATGATCGAGTTAAATTGTGATCTCCTTCTCATCCAACCTCTGCTTGATGTTAAGCTTCAGGGAGTTGAGGTTTGTGATCTCCTTCTCATCCAACCTCTGCTTGATGAATTTTGATTGTCCAAATGTTTTCTATTGGCACATATTAGGACTGGGACAAGGTTTTTTGTAGAAAAATGATTGAGGCAATCCCCTAGGCGCCAAGGGAGGAGAACAAGTTTACAAAACAGACTATCAAAACAAAGTTTGATATTGATGAAACTTAAACCAAAGTAGTACATATATATAATCTTATACCAATAAACTGTTTTAATAAACATCGTAGTTCAGCTTTTATAAGAATATATTCAAAAGTCCTGTGTTCGAATTTAATGAATTTGAGCCGTGTCAGAAATCCGCCAAAACCGGTTTCAATTGAGCGCCGGCTTAAATCTTGAAATAATGAATACGATTTAAAATGGGGAACCAACCATATTTGAGCCGCGACTTAAATTTAAGCAGCGACTCAAATTCTTTAAATTCGGCCTCTGAACATTGCACTCACTCTTTAAGTAAAATTTTAAGTTTTCAGCAGCAGTTAATCTTACGTACATGTATCAAAGGGTGGCCCAAAATATATGGAAAATAAGTGACATTTTTAAAACGTCGTGCATCTACACGCAGACTACACGTCCTTTTCTTTAACACAGGTTTTGCTGTAATCCAGTAAAAAAGGTTTATTTTCGAAAATTCTAGTCTTCTTTAGACTTAATGAAGGCGATTTTAAATAACTTTTTCCGATAAAAGGAAGGTACGACAAGATGTTAAAGAGGACAACCTTCTAATGTAAAATCAAGGTCAAGCTCAGTTAGAAAGTGAAAAACAACAAATGCGTCTCATAAACGTCCCATGATTTATTGGGATATTCTGAAGGAAAAGGCCGGTTAACATAAAACGCGCAATGTCTGAAATTACATTTTTCTCAGCAATTTCCGTTTTGGAGAACATTGTTCACTTAAATTGTAATCACAGTTATTTTAAATACTATTTTTTTCCTTTTTAAGTTTTGGAGGGTGTTTGACTAACTGCAATTCGAGGAATATAGATACATCCGTTTTAATTCGAATCGATTCGAGAATTTGTGAAAATCGTCCGAAAAGATTCTCAGCAGCTCTCTGTGTATTTATGCTGGAACCTAAGGCTAATCCCAAAGAAATAATCCAAAGGCCAGATTCCTGCATATTTTTACATTTCTTTTTTGTGTCAGTGTTATAAATTATTACTGTTCTCTGCAGTATGATCCCTTCCAGAAATATCTAGTATGTGATCCCTTCCAGAAATGTCTAGTATGTGATTCCTTCCTTTGCTGAATTCTCCTTCATAACTCCATATGTTTAACCCCTATTGTACTTCTGTGTACACATGTACCGTACCGTGCAGTACGCATGTACATAAGATTCCTTGCAATCAGTTTAAGTTATTATTGACCATGACAAGATCGTTAAAGATTGCTCTCACAATAATTCTAATTTATTGCTACAGGAATTAAATTCTTTCTTTCATTTGATTCATTAGCAATTCAACAAGCCAGGATTTTTAAACCGATTTGAGTTAAACTCGAACTTTTTTATCAAAATCTTATAACAATCTTATAAAATCATATAAGAACTAAAAATTGAAAATTTCTTGAGTTTTTATATATTTAATTAATATTTCTTTATTTAAAAATAAAGAATTTGCTGGTAGAACAAATTGTCAGACTGTTGAGGGTATCCTGGACTTGTATTGTCCCTGTACACAGAGATCTCAATGCTCGGAGATATTTGGAGATGACGGGGGCCCATCGGAATACACTTCTATACTCAGGGTACAGTTTTTACCATTAGCTTAGGGAACAGCAATTATAAAGACCATCTTTTCTTGAATTTGCAATTATAATCTTGATAAAATATATTTAAATAGCTGTACATTTTAAAACTAAAATAAAAGATGAAAATACAAAGCTGAAAATTCTGAAGTCACTTTTAAAAAATAGAATTCAAGTTCTTTGGGATCTTTCATTAAACATCAGGTTTTAAATATGTGGTTAAGTTAATTTGATTTTTTCTAATTAGGACGTATTTTGTGTTTAGGCTCTTCCTGTCTGTCCGCAATACAGGGTTCGATGTTGTTCGAAGGACTCAATGTTTCATGCGATAATGCTGATCCTAGCCGCAGATAGAGCCAGGTCGGGACGGTTTGACTCAAGGGTAGAGGAAGGAAGGCATCTGCTTCTACCACCACCTGGAGCTCAGGAACAGAAAGGTTGGACATTTCTAATCAATGGCACTCTCAACTATAAGCTTTCGGCGCGTTCTGCAGTACACTGATAGAAGATATATAGTAGTCTTTAGTAGAGAGTGATGGTGCCTTGTATTTTTCTATCTAATCTAAACTAATCTAGTCTGGATTAGTATAACAGTGGAGNGGTGGGGGTGAAGTGGATCGATCCAAAAGATCGGAGGAGTCTATCTAAGTCTTTTCTTTTAATGAGACTAAACACTTATCTCAAATTCTAGTTTTCTGGTCCTTTTACTTTCTCCACCTATATTTGATTTGTAAACCTTTGATATTTCAAACTTTGGCTATCATATCTTGTGATATTCATAGTCCTAAATACAAGAAAAATGTTTAAAGTTTAACCATATAATTTGTAAATCGATAAACAAGCCTGTACATGTTATATTTGTTCCAGTAAATGAAGTGAAGTGTGTTCCGGTGAGCTCCTGTCCACAAGAAGATATCTACGGGACGAATCCTTCTCATTTTGTTAAATATGGTTTCATCAGTCCTTCTCAGAGGAAATGTTTTACGAGTTCCGGTAATTATACAAAACACAAGGTTTATGAAATTGAAAGAACGTACGGGATTTTAATCGAATGTTTTTTAAGCATCTTTCTAGAAAGGGCGCGTTCTAGGTTTATAGCGATGTGAATCGCATATAATGATATTGATATATCCTTTTAAATATAATCTTTGGGAGATAAAATATAAAAAGAGATTATCTTTATTTTTTCATGTGAAAGGCTTATTAAACAGTTTTTTGAGATATCTCGGAACTGTATTTTTTCCTTCCTTTCTCTAGGATTTGTCTAGAATATTAAATAAATATTTTTGATATTAATCTTCGATTTGAATGAATTTTAGGAAATGTACTGTGTGTTGTGAAAGGAAATTTTGGAACTGAACCCGCCTCAGCTCAAACTACAGAAGCTACTGTACCATTAATCCAAGTTAAGGTTTTATTTCTAGAATCCACTTCTTAATTCCAATCCCGCTTTGAGGTACGATCCTCATCCAAATCCCACCCTCAAGATACAATTCGTTTCCTCAATCCCATCTTAAAAGTGCAATCCTTTACTAATCCCATCTTCAAGATACAATTTACCTCCTCAATCCCATCTTCAAGATACAATCCTCATTCTCCCAAACTCATCTTAAAGATACAATTGAGTTTTCAAATCCCATCTTCAAGATACAATCCTCATTCTCCCAAACTCATCTTAAAGATACAATTGAGTTTACAAATCCCATCTTCAAGATACAATCCTCATTCTCCCAAACTCATCTTAGAGATATATACTATTGAGTTTTCAAATACCATCTTCAAGATACAATCCTCATTCTCCCAAACTCATCTTAAAGATACAATCCATTTTCCAAATCCCATTTTCAAGAAACAACAATTAAAACCACTAGAAAAAAATAATATTATGAATTTATTTAATTAACTTATTTAATTGTAAAATTCTATAAATTTGATCAGTTAAATTTTATTTAATAACAACATAAAATCTAGTTTAATAGTTTCCTGATTATATTTGCACAAGTTCTCCTGTAGTGCGATATTTTGTGTGGGAAGAACTGTGCGGAAATACCGACAAAGATGCGAATAGTTTATTTAATAACTTGGGTTTCACTGAAATCCCACGCTAAAATTTATTTTAATCTGTATTCTTTTAACGTCATTTAATGAAGAACTAACAAAAGTACCCGGCGTTGCCCGCGCCCATTAGTCAATTTGTGCGATTTCTGTGCCCCGTAACCTTGTCATTCGATGGAAGACTCATTCTGAGTCAACAGATATTCTGAGGGATCAGCCTCCTAGGGCCGGTTTTAAATCAAACTTTTACAGTTATTCTAAGGGATAAGCTACCTAGGGTTTCAGATGAAACATTATATTGAAGTTAAATCTCTTTAAGTGCTAAATAAATACGCTCTGCATTATATTTAATATATTATTCCAGGAGGAAACCTGGTTAAGTGTGTACCTGCCAGCTCATGTCCCTTGGATGATATCTACGGGACGGATCCTTCTCATTTCATCAAGTATGGTTTCATAAGTCCTTCAGAGGCAAAATGCTTTGCAAGCTCCGGTAGGTTAATATTGGAAAAATATTTAACGCTCTAGGCTTCCAGCGCCAATCTTTAACTTTTATTTGTTGCTCTGTTGTCTTTTTTTTCGTGGATTATAATAAAACGAATTTTTAAGGCAAATTTTTTCATGTCTTACCAACCATAAACCTTTCCCGGGATCATTTGAGGTCCCACACAAATTTGGGCGCTCGATCTGTTCTGACGTTTATCGGTTACAAAAAACAGACAAGTATATATATATATATATATTTAATTTCAGTCCTTAAGTCGTTCATATGTGTGTGTGTGTGTATATATATATATACACACACACACACACACACACACACACACACACACATATGAACGACTTAAGGACTGAAATGAAATTTCAAGTTACTCTCCATGTCCTATTAACAACTGTACCTTTTAACTGAGTAACTCTGTGGAAGATATCATTGTTTTTATCTTAGAAAGTGTGGAATTCTTACAATTTCCTAGATTCCTTGATTTCCACATGTCACTTTTACAAAGATACCACAATTGAAAACCATAAATTTAGCATTTTATTCATCCTTTATCGGACAAGAGTTTAAAGCAGTTTAAAGGGTACCATAGAAAATTCCTTTAAACATAAGGTTAACAGTATACTTTAAATATTTAGGAAATGTTCTGTGTATTGTTAGAAGCACCTCGGAGCAAACTACTCAAACTCCATCAGCTCCTGTTACATTCATCCCGGTTCCTTTTCCAACCCGTCCTCCATCAACTAGTCCTACTTCTCCTGTTATTCGTCCGCCAACACCCTCTCCTGTAATTCGTCCTCCCACCTCTGTGCCGGTCATTCGTCCCCCAACCCTTCCTCCATTTTTCCGTCCTCCTGCCCCTCAACCAACTACACAAGCTTCACCCCCTGGTTCTAGCTTCATCCTTCCATGTCTTCCCTTCTCCTCTTGCTCTGAAATATTTGGAACCAAAGAATCCCATTTTTCTGATTTTGGAGTTCAGCCACCCTGTTCCAAACCTAACCTGGTTCGATGCATCTCTTACCGTCCCGTTCTATCAGATATTGTGGATGCATCACTTACTACTCCCTCACCATCTCCTACTCGTCCGACGCCTACTACTACACGTCCTACTGAAGCACCAACTCGTCCTGCTCCACCTGCAAATTATGTAGAACTGCCATGTGTTCCATCATCTCAATGTGCCGAAGTATTTGGAACTCAAGGGATACATTTTATCCTTTATGGATTTCAAGCTCCCTGTCCATCTGTATCGTCAGTAAGGTGCATTCGTTCAAATATTCAAACCACACCCACTCCTTCTCCGACACGTCCTACTTTGGCTCCTACACGTCCTACTCCAGGTCCTACCCGCCCTACTCCAGGTCCTACCCGTCCTACTCCAGGTCCTACCCGTCCTACTCCAGCCCCTATACACCCTACTCCAACTACTACCCTCCCTACTCCAGCCCCTACCCGTCCTACTCCAGCTCCAACCCGTCCTACTCCAGCTCCAACCCGTCCTACTCCAGCTCCAACCCGTCCTACTCTAACCTCAACACATCCCCCACATACAAATCACATTGAACTACCATGTCTTCCAATCTCTTTATGTCAAGAGATATTCGGTACTAAATCTATTCATTTCGAAAAGTTCGGAGTTCAATCTACCTGCTCTTCTACTTCCTATGTTAGATGTGTTCGTCCGGTTACCCAAACCACACCTCGTCCTGTCCATTGTATAACTCGTCCTCCACAAGGTTTAGTTAGTCCATCGGTTCAGATAATAGGTCCTCAGCCTATATACGTCACATATAACAACATCAAGGGACCTACTGTTGGTGGAGCAGGATCTACAGATCTTCAACCTGGATCAGTCGAGAGTTTTGGAGTTAATCCGTCCCAGGAGAATCAAATAAACCTTCTCCTACAATCACTAAGATCTCGACTACAACAACTAATAGTTGGAAATTCTAAATTTTGATGTGAATATGTTAAATTTTTTTGACCTAAATTGTGAACGACTAGTTATTAAATATATTATATTATTGTAAATGTTAGTTTTTTGACATAACAATTTAAGAACGAGAATCAAATATAGCATATACAGTCCTTTAAACGTAATTTTTAAGTAAACCTCTGTCTAAAGCATTACAAAGTCTTATTTACCATCATATAACAATCCTTTAAACTTTTGACTGAAGTGAGAAAAAAGTGTAACACTTTTTTCTCAATTGATTATTTTCAAATGAGGTTCTCTGTAAACGGGACTTGCGGATTTTTGCTAGAGAAAATACGATCGTAAAAAAGAAGAATCTATATTTTAAGACAGAAAAAATGACTTTGGCTCGGCCATTTTTAGTCTGATATAGGGCCAAAGGTATGCTTTGTACATTTTTGGATAGCCAGCTGTGAGCCATGATAAGCTGCAGGACTAGGAAGCTGCCGACCATATCCGTGACCGTTTGATGTTGCAGTAGGTCCGAAGTATCGTAGGACGGAGATGCCGTAGGACCAAAGTAACATTACCCGTCTGATTGGGGATATATTGTTTAATCCAATCTTGTCCATTCCAGATCTTCCAGAGCTTAAATCTTATTTACTAATTTTTACATGATCACAATTTTAGAAGTGTTCATAATTTCCTATTTAAACAATTACTTTCGAAAACGCCTCGTCAAAGGATTTTCTAAATGTACCTGCCTACTATTATTACCGCAATTCAAACACTATTTGAAAGATAAACAAACAGATTTCTCAAAGATTCGTCAAAGGTTTAAAGGAAACCGTTGTAAATTGGAAGCACTGGTGCAAGTTTGCAATGTCGTTTACGGTCATAATTTTATTTTACTTTACAAACTAGTTCTGTCGCGGATGCGGACATTTAAAATAAAAGGTTCATTTAAGTTCTTAGCAGGTCAAATGAGAGAATCTACAAAATTTCAAACTTATGCAAAACTTCATAAAATCAAACTAAACTTGCCTCGCTTTAAACATTTCAACATTTGTAAGCCAACAAACCATTCCTTTGAACTTTTTGATTTAATAAATATTAAGTATCCCTTCCAATATTCCTTCCCTTCCAACTATGAAATTATACAAATTATAGCGCTAATATTTTCAAAAATGTTCAAAGAAATAATATTGTTTTAGAATGGTCATTTAATTCCCATCTTTATCTAATTAATATCAAAAAATATTAAAAAATATTAAAAAAATCCCGAGATCCCCCCCCCCACTCCCAAAACGAAGCCTAAAATTGAATATTGTATAACATTTATTGATTTAAATTCAACAATTTTTGAACCTTTAAACAATCTACAGCTCACAAATATATGCCTATATTTACACAAAATAAAAAGTAATAAAATATTTGTTTTGTTTTTTGCATTTTTTCAAGTTACATCATAAATACAAAGTACATATTTTTTCCTGTGAAACTATTTGGTCTAAACATTATAGTAGTATACACCAGACTTACAGGGTTCAATCTTTTAATAGATTAAAAGTGAAGATAAACTCACAAACTTGGAAGAAAATTGACATTCTTAATGTTCAGATAAATCCTAAAATTATATTTTTTAACCGCAACAGGATTTTTTAAGAATTGTAGATTTCGACATAAATCCATGAAATCTCCCATAAACGTGTTTGTAACACGTGCTGGAAACTATATCACAAGGCTATATATATCCGACTAAAGACAATGGTTTAATATGGTTTGGTTAGGGGTTTAGTGTGAAGAATAACATCCCTTGTTCCAGGGTTAGAATTATAAGTAGGCACTTAATAATATTTATAACAAGTGTTGCTAAGTAAGTCGAGTTTCAGAGTTGCTGAAGCAAATTTGATTTCGCAGTCTTCAGTTTTTCAAGACGCTTCTCCAGGTGTTTATTCGCGGTTTCGAGTTCTTCGTTCTTCATTTGCGCATCGCGCAGCTCACGCAGAGTTTTCCGTCGTTCAACCTTCAAACTTTCTTCCGATAGCTCGGCGGTTTCCGAGGCGGTTTTGTATCGGATGACCTGTGATTCAAGGCGGGCAACGGTGGCGGTAAGCGTAGCAGTTTCTTGCTCACATTTAGATATTTTAAATTTATATTCGTCCAAGAGTTTCTTCGTTTCCCTGAAATTATAAAACTTAAAATTAAAATGTTGTCTAGTGTCTACACTTTGTTAAAAACTCCCACGGTTGTATTAATATAAATATTTAAGAAGAATGAATGTATTGTACGTATCAGTGCATAGGATCCATTTAATTTTGATGCGGATCCGGATCCGGATCCTGGATCCGCACTGGAAAAAAATAGATCCGGATCCAGCATTTCTATACTGAATCTTTTTAACAAAAAATAATTTTCAAATTTGTTGTTTTATTTTTTTTCGCATATTTTTATCCTAAAAGTAAAACTTGATGAACCATTCAGAAATGAGGAAATTTTTATAATCTTTCTTTTTTTCAAAAGTTCAGATTTTGGTTTTAGGAGTAAAAAATATTTTTTTTTTGCAGTTTTTAGTTGATATTTTTCCCCTTGAACTTTATTTCACATCACAAATTGACAATAACATCTGTCAGGTACAGTTGTCCCACAATAAATGGAAAAAGAAGATAAGAAGTTTTTAAAATCTGGTTTACATTTATCGTTTTACCGTTTCTTTAAAATCTGAAGATATTGAATATTAAGACATTTTTAGTCCTGTCTGATCAATTTTAATTTTTAAAAGTTTTTCCAGTAATTTAAAAGCTTGTGAAGGGCAAACCAAGTTGTCTAAATTGTAGTATATAATCAATGTTTCGTTAATATATACATGTAACATTAGGTTCAAAATGACTATTACAATTTATCTTTATAATAAGAAATGACATTCTCTCAAGAAATCATTATGTATTGCAAGAGACACAGCCAGTACCGATTTTGTTTTAATCTTTAAATATTTTAGATTTTCAAATTTGAAAAGAGAAAATTCTTTAATGTTAATTTTTGCAATAATTTCAAAAAAATATTTTCGGACCCAAAATATTTTTCTGATTTGTGAATTTACCTCTCTATCTCCTCCTGTGTGTTTGCTCCCCTGGCAGAGTAGGACAGGTTTTGTTCCTCCTCCAGATCAAGACGAAGACGACGATTCAAATCTTGAGCATCGTCTCTCTGCCGCGCTAACCGTTTTATTCTTACATCCAGAGGACCTGGACCTATAAAAATATTAAATATTCACAACATTTCAGGTTTCAGGTCGATTTACTAAGTGTTAAGAGTTTAAATAAATAGATGTGTGAAATGTATTTTATGTATTACTGGGTTACTCACAAGAGAATGACACTCTGAAAAATAACTTTTTTTTGTATTTAATATACTAGACTTTTAGGGCGCTTCGCGCCCATCTTCTATTCTAATTGTGAACATTTTCTCTTTGTATTCAATTTAAAACAAAAACAAAAAAGTTCGCGGATTTTATAAACTTTTGTTTTCCAAAATTTAATGAAAATCGAATTTGTCGGAGGCTAGTTTTTAAAAATTTTGATCATCCATAAACCTTCCCTTTGGTCATGTGAGGTACCACACAAAATTTCGGTTAGGCCTTTTTGAGGTTTATTGGATACAGACAAACAAACAGACAGACAGACATGCAAAGTTTATATATAGAAGCTTTCAGATAAATAGCCAACAAGAAACTAGCTTGGAAACCCAGCTTTGCCTAAAAACCTGACAGACAAACATCAATTATTACTTTATATACAGTACAGTGTACGGGAAGGGGAGAGGGAGAATGAAACAAAGATGCTGTTTGATATTTACCTAACCCCGCGAGAATATTAGCTGTATCCTGACTAACTATGGCTCTAGTTCTCTTCTCTTGCTCGTCCTCTCCCACCACCTCCTCCTCTTCTTCCTCCTCTCCACCCAGGAGAACCAGTCCCCGCTCCTGCAGCATATTCTGCTGTGCCTCCATAGCTGCCTGGAGAAGCTGGACGGCGCGCTGGCTCTCTGCATGGTCGCGTTTTAATAGTTCGTAATCGTGGGTTTTAGCGCGGAGTTCTTTTAAAATTAGAGAACTTTGTTCTTCTACTTCCTCAACCTGGTCTTTTAGTAGATCAACCTGAAATATATCAACACTTAATATGAACCAATAATATCAACCCAAATTACTATGAATACAAAATTACAAATATCAAGCTAAAATATATGCAATGGTATTTGATCTAAAACCCATCATAGTTAAGGAGACCAAAACCAGCCATTAAGCTTTTAAATATATATATTAGTAAGATATCATAAGGTAGAAAATAAGAAAAAAGGGTATACAGAATTTTGTATGCATTTATGAGAAAGTATAGTTGTAAACTGAAAACTAAGCATAAACCCTCTAGTTACAACTCACATATCAAATGTTATGAAATCAATTATCATTCAAATTTAATCAAAACACAAGAAATGTTTAAGAACATCATTAAACAACTTAATCTTTTTTGAAAATAAACTGCAAAACAACATTTTGAACAGTTCATGAATAGACTTTCTACCCAAATTCCTGGGACACTACGCAAAAACAGCCTTCCCGGCAAAGCGTCAAGTGAACATCCAAACCCCCGTTATTTTTAACCCCCCCCCCCCCCCGTTATATGCTTTAGATTTACAAATGTTTTAGCATAAACAAACTTAAACATAAATATGTTTTCCTCAAACTCAACGATCCGACACTTAAAACTGAACTCAAAACTTTACAATCATAGCATAACAGTTTATAAGGAAAAGTCATTCAAAAGTTCATCGTAACCTTTTCCGAATTTTGATGAAAGAACCGGGGTAATTAATAGGGGGGGGGGGGGGAATTGGAGGAGGAGGAGTATGTACAATTTTAAAACAAAATCGTTTTCGTATGAATCGTAATTTTTTTTTAATTTTTCTTATTTATTACGTTATCTAACCAATTACCCAAATTGTTAATTTTTAACAGTTTAAACTCCCCAGTAAAACAAACCGTAGATGCTAAAATAAAATTGCGGAAAAATATATATGGGGTCTAGCTCAAAAGGCAGATCTTTTCTTTTTCTTTTTGGATTTAACATTTTGTGTCTGAACACAGAATAAGTCAATTTCTGCCCACCTGAAACATTAGCTGACATTTCTCATTGTCCAGGCTGGCGTTGGCCACCATGGCCTTCTTGAACTTGTCCTCCAGCTCCTTCAACTCCCCTCGGAGATCCCTGAGGCCGGCACCGTCCTCTGAACTGTCTGTACTGCTACGTCGACTGTTAAAACTTCTTCCTTCTCGAACTCCCCGTCTGTTGGCAACATCTGCAAGAAAAAAGGTAAATGAATTTAATGAATTAAATGAATTAAATGAATTAAATGAATTAAATGAATTAAATGAATTAAATGAATTAAATGAATTAAATGAATTAAATGAATTAAATGAATTAAATGAATTAAATGAATTAAATGAATTAAATGAATTAAATGAATTAAATGAATTAAATGAATTAAATGAATTTAATGAATTTAATGAATTTAATGAATTTAATGAATTTAATGAATTTTTTAACAATTCTTAACAGCATTCGATGAAATTCAAAAAAAAATTAATAGATAATATTAACTTCAAAAAGATATATCTGAAAATTGTTCTACTGGATAAAAAAATACGTCACTTTCAAAAGTCTCTAAAGCTTTCCGTACATTAAGAAAAAACTTATTGCATCTAAAACTCTACATTGGGATTGGCTTTTATCAATTTAAGATTTATGACTAATTGATCTAATTGCAAATATACTCCATGCACAGACCCCTGCATTGAAATCTAACTGATTACTCACACAAAGAAAATAAAACAGTATTAAAATAACATCTTTTTAAAATACAACCCACCATATATAAAAATACAACCCACTATATATAAAAATACAACCCACCATATATCAAAATGACTTCCTCCCCCTCCATTAAAATACATTCACTAAAAGGATGAAAAATTCTTCAGTTCTTTTAATTGGTTTCCTTTAACCTTGCTCTTCAAAGATATCCTGACTCCGGGATATTAGATCTTTCAACTATGCAGGCAATAAGGTTTGTGAGGGGGGGGGGTTATTATCTTCCCTCGAACTTTTTCTGATAACGCTTATCTTTTTAACGCTTGTTAAATAAAATTTATACTTATTGTTGCTAAAAATATGAAAGTAAGCTAGAATTTATACAAAAATGTTAATTTTTTCTTGAGTTGTTTCTGTGAAAAATCATAAACATTCTATTAGTACTTAGTGTTTTAATCCACTTCAAGACGGATATTTTTAGATATTTTATCCGCCAAGTATTATTAGAATAGCACCTGTGTATATGAGGGTATGTGTACAACTAATATTTCTTATCTATAAAAGCCACATTTTTAAAACAAAAAATCCGTCAACAAAGTAACCTTCAGTTAATTTTTCTTATCAGTGATAAAAATTTAGTTTTAATAATTATGATTAATTATGTTTTTCTACCTAAATATTGATCATTTTTCTTTGCGATTACTCTGAAGTGACTTGCGGAGAAATGCAGCAGAGACAGAAGGATACCGAATAAAGAATATTTTTAAAGATGGAAACACTAGAATATCTGTCTCAGATAAAGGATTAAGGGGTATTGCTATGAATCGGTCATGCTACTCTGTCAATAGGGGGGGGGGGGGGGTCACATTTAATTAAAATGAAAGACAATTTAAATGGTAATTTTTAGCATTTGAAATATACCAATGGAAAAATGATAAATCTTTCTAATGATGTTGGGTCCAGATGTTAAAAGAATATTTCAGAGTTCTTAAATAAAATTAAGTTATGTTGCCAACTGCAATTAATATCAGCGAGTTTCCTCGTGCAAAAAAGTGACAGAAGTCATAAAAAAAATTCCTAGAACAAATACAAAACGCAAATCATGAATATAGATGACAAACTACATTTTTCGTAAGCATGGTACTGTATGAAATTAATAGAAAGATTATTCAGACACATTTAATTAAAAAGTAAGGAACATAAAAACTAAAAAGTCTGATGGAGCAATTATTTCTAATATGTCCAAGCCGCCGTATTTTAATCTCAACTGTTTTAACATTCAACCCCCCACCAAAAAAATCCACTTATTAAATTGTTGCAAGGGAACTTAATGGGATAGTATTAAAAAACTACTTAATTTATGATACTATCAATATGTACGTATGAATGTGTTTTTATATGTATTGTGTAACTGTAAATAGCAGGTGCAGGATGAAAATAAAATCAGCTGAACCCTTGTAAAGGTTTGAAATAGGACCCGGAGTTATAGAATTAAAACTATACATTAGTATCTATACAAAATAAGCCAACTTTTTGTCAGCTGCAAACAAGTTTATATGAAAAAACAAAGATATTTTCAATACGTGAAAAGGTGAACTGTCAAATAAAAGTATTTTCTTAGGAAATCATGACATTTAAACTTTCAGAATTCATCTGAACTAGTTTTAGGGTCCTTTTAATCTGTACTTGGATTGAATCCTATCTAAGTCTTACCCTCTGTATCTGAAAGTTCTGTATCTGTATCCGTATAATCACTATATTCCGTCCCAACGGACTGAATTCTTTGACGCTTAAGCTGTTCAACAGGGACTGTTTCTCCAATCCTTCGATTATACTGGCGCAAAGCGTCGTCAATTGAAAGGTCCTTTTTTCGAGCAGATTTAGGACTAGAACCAGAATAGCCGGAGTCAGACTTGGAAAGGATCGGAACCTTTTTGGAGTCTGGAGTAAAGTCTGATGTTACATCGGATAATGTTTGCTCTTCCGAACTATGTGTTCCTCCCATATCGTCCTGACAACAGTCAATCACTAAACCCGGAGAATTCGTCCTTTCAGGTTTACTCAATATCTCACTTTCATCACACTGAAATTCCTCAACTACATTATTATTTGTCACATCATCGTTATCTGTACAAGGTTCACTTTTATTATCATTCTCAGGATCTGTCTCGGACATAGGTTTCAGGTCTTCTGCCGGAGCAGGAGAAGTAGGACTCTCCGTCCCTGACAGGGGATCCGGACTCAGCTCCGTAGAATCTACCGGTACTGTCTCAACTGCTTCGAAAGGACCTTGGTTTAACACCGAACAATTCTTTTCCTCTTTCTCGCTTTCAAGTATTGGCTGAACTGAAACAGATAAATCTGAGGGCTCAGCTTGAGATTGATGTATCTCCGAGTTGGGTTTGATGTCCAAGGATGATCCAGGTCTTCCTTCAGAGCTCTCACTTTCAGCCTTTTTTCTTCGAACCTTTCTCCGATCTAAAGTTGATCCTAATTCGGACTCTGAATCTCTCTCCCTGGAGAAGGTTTTAATATTAAGCTGAGTTTTAAGAAAACAAGCGAAGGATTCGTCTAAAGATGACAATTCATCAAGAAGAGCTTGTTCTCTGGAGACACTTTTCTTCTTTCTAGGCTGACCCTCCTGTTCCTTTATTCTCTCTGCTCTTGAAACTATCTTTGGAATCTTTATATTTTCAGTAAGAAACCCAGGTGGGGGTGGAGGTGGAGGGGCGGGGGGAGTAAATATAGAAAAAGGAACACACGTGAGTTCAGTAACAACAGGACTATTTTCTTTTATAGTCTCTGATTCAATATTCCTACTCCGGGGTTTAATATCAACTGATTCCTTATCAGACCCTGATATAAAACCTATACAGCATGCTTCATTATCCAACACTTCCGCTCCGGGTTCAAATTCTGTATTTTCTGGCGGGACGGATTCTTCTTTCTCTGGGTAGGGTTGAACACACACTGTCTCAAACTGGGTGTCCTGATAGTCCCCAAAACTACCTGGTGTGACCCCCTCTTGACCCGGGGCCCCTTCATTCCCGGGATGGGATTGGATTAATGAGGTTTGAGCAGTTACGAAACTCCTGGTAGTTTCCTGAACAGGCAGATTTGTGTCCTGAAACTCCGGAAGCCCTGCATCCACTATTTGCCTGATATCCGATACACAGGATTCACAGCTGTCAGGGGCCTCACAGCTGCCAATGTCAGGGATTATGCGACTTTTACAATCAAAACCACTGTCGTCGGGTGAAAAGCTGTCATTGACAGCTGTCACAGATTCCGTTACAGACTGGAGAACAAGTTTGCTATCCGGTGGTAGACAGCTGTTGTCAGGAGCAATGCTGTCAAATATTTCAGGGTTAGAACAGTTGTCAACAGATGCATAATTATCTTCACCCTCACAGCGACTGACAAGAGAATCCAAGTTCTCTGAAACGATTTTACAGCTGTCAGAATTTTCACAAGAGGATTTTTCATTACTTGAACTATCTGTCGCAGGGTTTTCCATACAGGGTTCTCCGACTGTAACACAGACGGTACAGTCTTCTGGAGAAGTTTCATCAACGTGCGACGGTTTATGTTCCTGATCTTCATTATTTATCGGGTTGGATTTAATTTGCAAAGTTTCTGGGATTAATAAGCTAGTCCGGGGCGTACTATACACCTCGGCCGGATCAAACAGGGATATACCAGATTCACGATTATCCATCCTTATATCTTTTCTCCTAAGCACAACCTCTGTTTCTAAGGACACCTGGAGAGTTGCAGCATCAACTGGATCAGTATGTCCGGAGACATTTTCGACAGTGTTTAGATTTATTTTATCTCTGTTTTTCTTGGCAGCCTGTTTTTTCCGCCGATTCGAGGAACTTCTGTTTCGCTTCTTATTTCCTCCTTGCATCGGGGGTTTAGCGGAAGTCGAACTTGGGGGATTGGGGGAAATTGATTTAATAGGTGCAGGGGTTTGTTTGGATACCAGTTTATTCATTGGCGGGATTTGAACTGGCGAAGTTGTAATATCTACTGAACCTATCGGAGAAACCTTATCATCCTCCGTCCTACTTTTCTTCTTTCTCCTCTGAGCAGCAAAAGGTTTGGTAGGATTGGGATCAGAAGTATCATGGCTGTCTGAAGCATATTTGCGCTCTTTCACAGGATCTAACTCACAAGATTTAGAGAACGAATTAGAAGTTCTGATCCGTCTCACGACCACAGGGGTTGAATGTGTGGACGGATTAGCAGGATGACCGACAGGCCTCTGCCTGCCCAAGGTCACAGAGTTGCTGGATATAATTGAATCACGCTTAGAATTACTCTGTTGGTTAGTTCTCCGTCCTGGAGTTTGAGTAGAAGGTTCCTGGTTGGATCCTATGAGGAAACCAAGAAGGGATCTGCCTAGATCTTGAACAGGACTTATAAACTTGGAAAAACCAGACCCGGAGGGTTCATTCGGAAGAGCCATTTTACTCTGGGTAGGTCTAAGACCAGGAGCTTTGTTTCCAACCAGTAAGTTTGCAAGCGCAAGTTCCACAACAGTTCTTAAAATCACAGCTTCTTGATATATCTCTAGGTCGTTGGATACCCCAGCACTTGGTTCAGGTTTAACTTTAACTTTCTCCGGGATAGGTTTATCAGAGGAGATAAGGTTAGAAATAAATACTCCGGGGGAACCTTTATTTTTTGATTTCCCAGATTTTTTTCGTGGCATACTGTAGAATCCAGGGTTTGTGGAGAGCTGGAATCAGTTTGACATTCCGGTCTGAACAAGCTAACCTCAACCTGGCAGAAGCAACAGCTGATTGTTTTATCTCCGTCACGGCAACTGAACACATTTTTATTACTTGCTCTTCTCTCCTTCTTCAAAGCTTTCTCCGGGAAGTGTAGTTTTCAGATACTAGGCAGTGAACTGTTTAGGATTTGCAGGGGATTGTTTTCTCCAGGGGGACTTCAGAGCTGGGAGCATATTGGGTTTAGCCTTTTAAAACAAAAATCAGTCTTGGTTTTGCATTTGAAGAGCAAGTTGAGTGTTCAGTTTAAAACCTATAGGCAAGATTGAACTCTATCCGGAATGAAACAAAAGATTTAACAGTTTTTCTTTAAAAATCGTCTCCACAGCTATAAGAACTCGGAGCAGAGCACCCAAAGGAGAAGGATCAGGTTCAGGAATATATCTTCTTTCTTTTCGAGATTTTAAACATTGTTCTATATTCCCCCTTTAGCAGGGTTCGGTTTAGCTCAATGTTCCCTGGGTTTAGAATGAGCCTGCTGTTGTATCCCCCTGGAGCAGAGTTGAGCTCCGTAACTATTTAAGATATGCAACTGCTGGATTTAAACTGTCCCAGAGATTTGACCTAGAGTTGGCAGACAGCCAGGATTCTTCTATTCAAGCAATAGTTGGCATATTATAGTCCACCTCATCTAACTTCTAACTATCTAACTTCTAACTATCTAACTTCTAACTATCTAACTTATAACTAACTTCAAACTAACTAACTTCAAACTAACTAACTTCAAACTATCTAACTTCAAACTATCTAACTTCTAACTTCTAACTTCTAACTATCTAACTTCTAACTATCTAACTTCTAACTAACTAACTTCTAACTAACTCCAAAATATCTAACTTCAAACTAACTAACTTCAAACCAACTAACTTCAAACTATCTAACTTCTAACTATCTAACTTCCTAACTATCTAACTTATTTCTATCTAACTTCTAACAATCTAACTTCTAACTATCTAACTTCTAACTATCTAACTTCTAACTATCTAACTTCTAACTATCTAACTTCTAACTATCTAACTTCTAACAATCTAACTTCTAACTATCTAACTTCAAACTAACTAATTTCTAACTATCCATCTATTAACAAATCTAACTTCTCGTCTATCTACTATATATCACTTATCTTTTTTCCTATCCATCTATATAATTTAAGGATACAGCTGTCACTTTAGATAAATAAAGATATAATATTTACACCAAATATTGAAACCCTACAACCCCTAAAAGTATTGATATCATAAAGGTTAATGATAGCATTGTGTCTAGACCTAATGTAAACCTAACTTACACCAAATACAACTGTTATTGTTTAGAGCGTGTCTGCAGTATAAATAGTTCAAAGGACAATTTGGGTAGAAAAATTAACACTAATTTCAAAAGTTAAAGGGATTGATAAGCTATTTCAGTAGAGAAGTATTTACTTATTATTAAAATTACACCTTTCATATGAAATGGGATATCTATGAAATGTCATACCCGTAAAATTTCCTATCCTGTATTTCTTAGGCTACGTCGTGTCTATGCAAAGTCTTTTCTATGAAATGTCCTGTCCATTCAATGTTTTGTCCTTGAAATGTCATGTCTATGAAATGTCCTGTCTCTGAAATGTTCTGATTATGAAATACCCTATGTATGAAATATGTCCTATATTAGAAATGTCTTGTCTATGAAACATCCTGCCAATTATATGTCCATCAAAAACATATGAAGCTAAATTACAGTGATAATCAGAAAACAATGGAATAGGAAGACTACAATGTATCAATACTTAAGCGTATTGGATGTTGTTATAAAGCTAATAGTTTTATAAGACACTTATTAAATCACTATTTTAGTAAAATGGGTCTATTTACACTGTACAATTGCAGTCTCATGCTTATTGGACTTTTAAAATTTATAACTTTGTTCTAAAAGTCGTCTTCCTATTTCAGTGGTTGCTAGATATTGCTGTAGTAGTTTAATAAATCACTGTCTACCAAACACTATTATATCTTCGGTCACTGTACTGTAAAAAACGCACAGAAAGCTTAGTTGAGAGTGAAATCATTACACACTTCTAACCATAGTTTACTTTACGTATTTAACATTACATCATCTTGAGTCTTTTTACAAGTAAAATATACAATCAACACTGAATACTAAACAATAGAGGAACTAAGTTGATAAATATATTCTGTTCGTGGGTTTGCATGAAAAATGCATAAAAACGGTAAGATTAGGTTGACTTGGAATTACATAATTTCATAATTTTGTAGGCCTGGATTTTGAAATACACAGTTATAAAAAGAATAAGATTTTATCTGGTCGTAATTATCAAAATCTTAGTTTGAGTATTTAGTGATTTGAAATTAGTTGGTTAGTTTTTACTTCGTTTTTGACAGTTTGTAGACATTTTAAAAGGTTCTACAAAAAAATCTAAGAAGTTTTACAATTTTTTTAAAGTGTTTATTGTTAACATTTATACTATGCAAAATTTTGACCCTGAGAAAAAATATATACAAAAAGAAACCCAAAGAAAAAACGCATAGCAACGTTTGATAATAGCAAACTTTATCAGAATACAGTTTTGACATATTAAAAGTTTTATAAAAAGATTTAAGAACAAAACAAAACGATTAACATGCAATCCTATCTGCATTTATCTTATTATACTTCTTGACACCAAAACTTTTGTGCGAGGCAGCGCTCAGCTTCAGCAACTAATCTCGATATCCACGGTGCAAACTTTTGAATAAAGGTTGTACTTTCTTAGATTGGGAAAATTTGTCTACTCCTGGCACCAATGAGGTATTTTTTAAGGCTTCAAATTACCCAAATCTGCCACATTTCAATAAAGATTCACTATAGTTTTATACCATCAAAATTTAACAATTATTGCAAGAATTGCAACTTTGCAAGGTAACAGTAAACTTTTTGAACCAGTGTATTCATTTACTGATATTATTTATATTTTAACATCTGTTTAATCTGTTCTTGTTATGGAAATAATATATTTATAATAATTAATAAATGAATGACATTAGCAAAAATATGATCTCAACCTTAGTTCCTCCTAAATTCCCAACTACCCCTCCCCATATTTACAACTACCTCCGCCCCCCATATTTACAAAATTTATGAGATTTATGCGAATAAGGTGCATTTCTACAAGGGCCAACTCTTGAAGTTTAATTGAAGGGAAAACCTCGTCAATTTTAGAAACAAATAAAAGTCTTTCCTATAAAAAAACTAGCCAATTTCTTTTATAAAACGAGATATGGCGGAATTCCTACCTGAATGAATATTATTGACCGGAGTGACATGACCCGTCTCCTCGTCATCTCGCGCTTTCTTCTCTAGCTCGCGCATACGAATATTACGCGCTTCACAACGCGCTTGCCGTCGGGCAGCCAGCCGGGCCTCAGCCTACAAAAAATCATAATTTATTATGATAATTTTTATGGCGCAAATACATCGACCTCGTTATAATTCTTACAAAACAGCGCGAAAATGGAGAATCCTCAGACGCGAGGATAGGTAGAAAAGAAAGAAATAAAATCATTTTGTTTCGTACCATTTATATTATAAAGAATGATGAAAAATGGTAAAAAAATCATTCTTTTTTTAAAAAAAGTTTATAAATCAAAATCAATATTTTGAATATTTGGTAAAATGTTTCAACAGTTTGTTTTATTGTTTTCTTTTCTTTGATACTTTTTGTTTATTTAAGTGTATATATTGAATACATGGATAAGTTAATATTTGATAAAATGTTTTACAACTAACTTTGCATTTTAAATTAATATAAAATTCAGTTTTTTTATTTGCAGATTAGTTTTTCATTAACTAGCTGTATACATATATACACATTACACAATACATAATTATAGTAATCAATTCAGATATGATATAATTAAATCTTGCACATTTTTGCATCCATACGATTTAAGAGGACTGAAAGCGAAATTTCAAGTGACCTTCTTTGCAAAGATGACAATGTCCGATTTACTACGGTACGTATCCTTAAACTTTGTCTGATCAAGTATTAATTCAATGTTTATAATTTAGAGAACTAATTGCAATTCTTTTTAATAAAGAAAGAGTGATTAACATCTTTGAAGTATATTGTACCATGTTAGATTCATGTACAGCGGATGTAGAACTAAGTCCAGAGAATTGATCCAAGTACAAGTATCGACCCAAGGTGTATTTATGACCGTAAACTTCGGCCATAAGGTCGCGTCGGGTCAACGTATCCACAAAACCCATGCTTCAAGAGTTCAGGAGCTTTGAGGAGATAAAAAGTTATCCAAAAGTTGCGGGAAATTATTCAGAAGTTCTGGTTAGAGAATTATTTGCGAGAGTTCGGTCTATGAAATCAATAATATCTTCAATGAGTTGTGTTGGACATTGGTAGTTTTTGAAGCACTTGCTTTAAATTTTGTTTTCTGGATTATATTGAGAGTTTCATCAAGAAGATACAGTTTCTTAGAGCTTCTAGGTTAGTTTTAACCCTGGCAAAAGCCTTATGATGTCTTCATTCTATTCCAGGAGCTCTTTAAATCCTCTCTTAAACCTCAAGTTTAGGTTTAAGAGTTCTAACTCTGCTTGACGAAGAACACACACTAAGACTGCACGATGCAAGCCTGCATGTTTAATGACAGCAAAAAAGTTTTATGAACAAATATTTTTAAAGATTCAAAAACATTTTATATTTTTGTTCTTTTTTTATTGTAAAAATAAAAAAAGTAATATTATCCCTGAATTGCACTTCTAGGATAGGGTTAACCTACTACAATTCTAAATGTAAATGCTAATAGGCAATTAAAGGGTGGGGAGAGAATAGGGAGAATGGGGGGGGGGGGAAAGTTGTGTGACTGTTTTTAGGGAATTCTTCTTAATGGAGAAAAATCGACTAAGGGGGAAATAAAAGATCTTTTTATAGAAGTGGGAGGGAGGACATGGAATTCTTAAAGAAGAACAACTGCCATATAAATTTCCCACAATTTCCCAAAATTGATTTTAGTAGCTTAAAAACAATTACATCGCTATTAACGATTCTATGTTTTTTTCTTTCTATGTTCAGCAAGCTCGATTAAATGGAGGAAAGAGCTGCTACCGGACAAAGATAAAATGGAGGAAAGAGCTGCTACCGGACAAAGATAAAATGGAGGAAAGAACTGATACCAGACAAAGATAAAATGGAGAAAAGGACTGCTACCAGACAAAGATAAAATGGAGGAAAGAACTGCTACCGGACAAAAATAAAATGGAGAAAAGAGCTGCTACCGGACAAAAATAAAATGGAAGAAGAGCTGCTACAGGACAAAGATAAAATGGAAGAAAGAGCTGCTACAGGACAAAGATAAAATATGATCCGTGAGATGGAAATAAATTGAACTTGACATTTTTAAGCAGTAACAGAAGAAGAGAAATGGAATAAGGAGAGAAAGAAAAAACGGGATGTTAAAAGGGGAGATGGAAGAAGGGGCGGGAGATGGAGAGATAAAAGCAGGGAAAATGGAAGAACTAGAGATGAATGTAGA